CAAGTAAGTACAATTTGTGCATAGAAATTTTTCTCATGCTTGTTTGGCGTACGTATTTTTTATGATCTTCATCACTACTTGTGTACATCTTGTGAAAACCCAGACGGAAAGAGTCATCAAAACTAGATTTTAATTAATAAGCATGCATGTTAATGTAGCATAGGAGCATCAGGAATCTAGAAATCCCCTTGTAGTTGAGACTTTTGGGCTTTAAATGCATATGTGGCCCATTTGATTCAATTCTCATTCTGTTCCTGATTTATTCCTGGAGAGTGGATCATGTTTATTATCAAGAGAGAATCTTAACTTTCGTTTACTCTGATCATGAGGTGGCCAAATTTTGGCCTATTTTTTTGAGCATCTGAGTTGGTTGTATTCATCTGTTATTAAGCTCTATTTGTACTGCAAATGAAGCCGAAAAACACACGTTTTTCCTTTTTATTTTGGTGATGGAATGACACTCCTGCCAGTCTCAGTAAGTAATTTATAAGCAAGGAATTCAAGTATTTCCTCGTATATTGTTAGGATCCAGAACATCACTGTAGAAGGCTAGATGTATCACTTTCTTGTATTTTTTTTTCTGTTAGTAGTACAGCGTTAGAATTTAGTAAAAAAGAATTACAGTATGGTAGAACAACTGGAACGCCAGCTATCAATATACCTGGTACAAAGTCTGTTATTTTTCTGTTTTGCCAATGATTGGCTGGGTAATACTAGCATACTACCAAGGACTGTAATAGGGAGACAGTGGAATTTGAATGAAAGTCTATCCTAATTTCTATGCTTTCAAGCTTTCTTCTTCCTCTTCTAATCTCTCTAATCTATCTCTCTACGAATCCTAAAAATTTCCTGGAACTCAACAAAAACCTATTTCTTGCTGCTGCTAATGAATCGGGTGCTTGACTTATATATTTCCTGTTTTGTGATGTTTAGTGAAGATACAATTCATATTCTCAGACTTGAATGATCCTTTGACATTATTCCTTCTTCATAGGAACAACAAAGAGCTTGTAATGCAAGCAAGTGTTCCAGCTCCTGGTTCAAGAGATCTGCATTTTCCAAACCGTTTCTCGCAAAATAGTTGGGAGCAATTCAAGTCCTGTTTATGGAAGCTGCACTTATCCTATTGGAGAAGCCCCTCCTATAATTTGATGCGTATCTTGCATACTTTCATCTCATCTTTGCTTTTTGGAATTCTGTTCTGGAAACAAGGACAGAAAATGTGAGATTCTTTTCATACTAATATCGTTCTTACGTAACTGTATGTTATATCCTATCACAGGACTTTATAAGTTCACTGTCCTACTTTTTCAAATTTTCTTTTCCAGAGAGAACCAACAGAATTTATTCAATATACTCGGCTCGATGTATGCTTCTGTGACCTTCTTAGGCATAAATAACTGCTCATCAGTTTTGCCATATATTGCAAGAGAACGAACTGTTATGTATAGGGAAAAATTTGCTGGGATGTATTCTCCATGGACTTATGCACTTGCACAGGTATTTTCCCATTTTGGATTTTTTTTTTTTAATAATCATTCTGGATTTAATTCCCATGAAACTTTTTTCATTTTTTTCCAGGATAAATTGTCTAACTTTTGGGTTTTTTATGGGATCCAATAAGAGTGTAGTGTCCCTTTTTCCGTACTCCTGATATGGAGCAGAGCTTCTCTGTCCTAGAATTCCACTATTTGGACTCAGTTAAAGATTAAACTTGAGCTATGGACGTCTTATATTTTCTCATGCTTTTTCCCCTTATTTTCCTGATTTCTCTCTGTATTGTGCTTAACAGAAACAAAAAAAGGTCTTCTTTACTAACAAGTATATTTCTTTTTTTCCTAATGTCATATTGATTTTCCAGGTGATGATTGAGATGCCTTATCTATTTATAGAGACTGTCGAATTTGTAATTATCACATATCCCATGATTGGGTATTATGGATCAGCATACAAGGTCTTTTGGTACTTCTATTCAGTGTTCTGTGCACTTCTTTCTTTCAACTATCTTGGGATGCTCCTTGTGTCACTGACACCAAATGAGCTGATGGCTGCAATTCTATCCTCAGCTTTTTATACAATTTTTAACCTCTTTGCTGGGTTTTTAATTCCTCAACCGGTAAGTTATTCTTTAGTATCTAGGAAAGTTATATTGCTGAAATTTATGAACAGTGTCTAAAAGTTCAAGTTGTCAATTAATGCAGCAAATTCCCAAGTGGTGGATTTGGTTGTATTATCTGGCTCCTACATCATGGATATTAAATGGGTTGCTCACTTCTCAGTATGGTGACATAGAGAAGGAGATTTTGGTGTTTGGAGAAACCAAATCTGTAGCTGCCTTCTTAGAAGATCAATTTGGGTTTCGCCACAACCACTTACCCATTACAGCTGTTGTTCTTGCGTTGTTCCCTTTAGTTTTCGCTTCACTCTTTGCATATTGTATAGGCCGATTGGATTTTCAAAGGAGGTGAACCTGTTTTTTCTTCTAAAGCATTCGAATGTAACATGTAGCTGATCAATATAAACAATTAATGCTTTTAATATCAGTTTTATAATTAAGGCTCATGGATGGATGTTTTTTTTTATTACTCCGATTTAAGGGGCATATTTATATGATCCCGTCAATGTTTTGACATTTTTCTTCATTGGTAATATATATTTATCTATATATATGATCTTTGATGATGTTAAGGAAAATATGTATCTTAATCATTTTAAGTCGACCATGTCAGGTTTTATGTTGTTTGAATCTTAATTTTAAAAGTTAACTAATGATATCAGATGTATGTATTTGAATTAAAAAAAAAAATTCTTTCATTTGATTGCCAATACAAAACTAATATCATATACACAGCATAGAACCTGTTTATTCTCTATAACAGTAAAAGAGTTCAAATTTATTTTGATTAATTAATTTTAATTGAAAGAACTGATGTTTTCTGTGCAACAATAAAAAAGTGAATTTATTGTTGTTGGGTATTATTAGATTTAAAGTTCTAGTTGCTTGTGCTATAATATCGGATAACTTTTTTTGTTTTAAGCAATTTTAAAGATTCAAATTATCGAATTAATCAAGCAGAATAGGTTGAGTATGTCAAATCCATTTGGAAGAGGATATGTCTAAGTTAAGATTTAGTTGGTTTGTCTTACTCTTTTGTCATGGACGTTAAATGGCTTGATAGCTCCTCACTATGGTGATATAGGAAGGAGATTTTGGTGTTTGGGAAAACCAAATCAATAGCTACCTTCTTAGAAGATTAATTCGGATTTAACCATGATCACTAACCCATTGCAGCCATTGTTCTTGTGTTGTTCCTATTGGTTCTTGCTTCATTTTTTGCATATTATATAGGACGATTGAATTTTCAAAAGATTTGAAAAATTCTCAGTTTGTAAGTTGTATAGCTTGCAAAATCGGGAATGTAAATTGTAGCAGATTCAAAATATACTTGCATATAATTAAGTTTTTAGTCTCTTGTCTGGTAAGATCTAAGCCATAGTAGACAAATTAATTCATGAACATGATACACTCCAACAGTTAAGAACATAGCAACAAGGATGCCGATGGACACTTTTTAATAGTGCTGCAAATTCAGTGTTCATTCACCTTCATGTCCGGAACTATTCCATTTATTTGTTTAAGCAAAATGAAAGAACTCATAACTCGTGGCCTTTCAATTGACTTGTTTTCATTTTAAGAATAAAATGATTGATCAAAATCCTCTTGTTGGTTATTAAATCCTTGCTTCAGAAATTCAAGAATATAATCGATTACATCTTTCTACTACATTTTCCTGTTGGGTAAGAAAATCGAGAAAGAAACGTTAATATTGCATACTCTGACGACTAAAACACTAGGAAAACTTTAGTTACAGACCATCAGCTTTGAAGAATAAGCAAATTGTTGATGACATTGAAAGATTTCATTCCTGGGGTTTCTCTCGCTTGAGGGGCTTCACCACCTCCCAGGTGAAGTCAGGGTCGTCTCTGCCAAAGTGTCCATATGCAGCAGTCTTCAAGAACCTGCCATTGCCACCTCTCTTAAGATCAAGGTTAATGGCAATCATACCAGGCCTAAAATCAAAGTTTTCTTTCACAATCTTCAGAATCTCCTTGTCCGGTACTGTCAACAAAGACAGACAATGGTTCGGGCACGCCAGTGGCATACGATACCTGAATAATGCATCTACGAGCAAGCCCACTGGCAACAACGCTCTTGGCAGCTTGTCTTACAAGATGAGCCCCACTCCTGTCCATCTTGGTAGGATCCTTTCCGGAAAAAGCACCACCACCATGTGCCCCCCAACCACCGTAGGTATCAATTATGATTTGGCGCCAGTGAGACCTGCATTACCGTGTGGCCCACCACTAACAAATCGGCCTGATGGGTTGAGATGGAAGATGATCTTCTCATCAAGGTACTTCTCGGGAATCACTGGCTTGATGACGTGCTCTTTCAGGTCAGCAGCAATCTCATCGTTGGTAATAGTCTCATCATGTTGAGTGGAAATCAAAACAGTGCGGACACGAACCGGAACCATTGCGCCATTGTCATTGTGGTACTCAACTGTGACTTGGGTTTTGCCATCAGGTCTCAACCATGGGCATGCCCCATTCTTGCGGACCTCGGTGAGGATTGCACCAAGCTTAGTTGTAAGTACATGACTGAGAGGCATAAGCTCAGGGGTCTCATCAGTCGCATAGCCAAACATGTGACCCTGGTCAACCGCACCAATCTCCTCGGGGCGCTTGGTGAGGTGACCGTGAACACCCTGAGCAATAAATGTAAACCAAGACCTTGCAGTTATCAGCATCAAGACCGACATCGTCAGAGACAAATCCGATAGAACGGCAGGTGTCACGCACGATTTTCTCGTAGTCCACATTGGCCTTGATTGTGATTTCTCCCAAAACCATGACCATGTTGGTCTCACAAGCGACCTTGCTGTCGGGTTCTTGCTGGAGGCAAGCGTCAAGGACTGCATCAGAAATCTGATCGCAGAGCTTGTCAGGGTGCCCCTCGTTCACTGATTCTGAAGTGAATAGAAAAGTCTCCATTGTCAGCTGCCGAGCAATCCACAAAACCGTCAAGAGGAAAAACTCCATTACAACTCGCAAGTAAATTTTCAAAGCTTATAACAGTTTCTCAAATCTAAACTCAAAAGGGTTGGTTATATTGTAGTAGGTGAAAAATCCAATGACGTGGGTTGGTGCGAACTCTGCTCCAAACGCCAGTTTTACCTTTACAAGTGCAAACGTGTCATTACCATTATCATTATATAAACTAATGTATTTCCACAAACAAAATGGAGATGGTCAAATGGGTGTTTTATGAATAGCAATGTAAAACCCTGAATTTTATAAAACATATTATGCGATTTCAAATCAACTCGGAGATTGCTCTAATCAGAATTTATTCTTCATTGGCTTCGTATTCATACGCAGAGATGAAATACAAACAACTACTGTATTTATAGGGATCAAATCACTGATCCTAAAATCGGCGGCCAAGGAAAATGCTTCCGACCTGCTTTTCTCTTAAATGTCTTCATACAAATGGTCCCGTAGCTCAGTTGGTTAGAGCGCTGGTCTTATGAGCCGGAGGTCGCGAGTTCGAGCCTCGCCGGGACCACTTTTTTAAAAAAATTCTTACTCTTCTTCTTCATTTAATATTTAATATTAAGAAAAAATAAAATAAAATAAAATTATATTCCTAACGTATTTTTGATTCACCTTAAATTAAAACGTCAAAATTTTTAGCAAAAGTCAGATTTTATTCATTATGATCCATCAATAATTGTAATAATATCTTTAACACCATACACATGCAATTTGGAGGAGAATACGTTCGTCGGACCACAAAAGGTTACTAATAGCTTCACATACAATCTCACAACCACCGTGCTTTATTGCACAGATCATTGTCCCAAAATTTCAAGAGGAAAAAATAATACAAACACAGAAATCAATTCCCTTCAAAGCTTACATCAACTCTATCCAAACCTTTCTGCAGAATCGTTCCCCTTGATGAACCTTGAGTTACATTCATTCATTATCTAAACCGAGGATCAGCTACAACCAAGGACAGTGAAGTCATGCGGCAGCCATGATGCAGTCAATTGCGTTTTTGCAGATCCCAGTCATTGTCGCCTCAGGTCCATAAACCTGCAATAGAAAAAGTAACATACTTCACCCAGAAATATAAAAAAGTTACCGCAGCCAACATTGATAGGAAAAGATAGATTCCACAAGAAACAGGTGAAATTGTTTTGCCAATCTATGTTTTTCGTGTTTAGACTTGATTCCAGACTCGATAAGTCATCTTCAGATGCATTCATGTAGAGAACAAAGTGGATTTCAAATAATCAGACAAAATTTAGAAATGAACTGAAGAAAGACAAAATGAAATTACTTCGGCATCCTTGTTTATGTTTTCCTCGAATCAAGTAATTTACAAATAGAATTAAATTTCAGTAGTTCCGATCAGAGCCGTGAAGAAACAGGAGAGAAAATTCTGATTTAATTGCTTGGAACATAAGCAAAGGGAGAAATAAAAGTCACTAAAAACTGAAAGTATTTACAGTTTCTTCTAAAGCCCAATTCTTGTACAATAATTTTATAGACTCAAACCGATACCTCAAGGGGAATTCCCAATTCCTCTCCCAAAGCACGCATTCTCGCTAAACCAATCTGATAATTTGGACCACCTCTTCGTACATAAATGTGCATTCTTGCTGCTTTTAACTTGGCTTCCTGTCAGATCAAGTGAAAAAGAAAATGATAGAGGAAAAACAGTTACCACATGTATGAAAAAGAAACCAAGTGTTAACATCATCTAGTTTAACTCGTATCAACCAAATTGCACCTTCTCCTTCAGGGCTCTAATAATCCCATTGAAGGTAGTAGCAACATCAGTGAAGTTGGCAATGCCTCCTCCAATGAGAAGGGCTCTTTTACGACCATCAGGATCAGCAGTGGCACACTGCAATATCCAAAATATAAATGTTTCCAGATCATATATGGTGTCTCAAATTGCTATAAAAGAAAATAGAAGTTATAGGACAAGACAAATATCCTATTCCTCACATCAATAACTACTCTGGCATACTGCAAAACCTCTTCCTCATTTGGAGCTCCACTGTACTCTGCATAATTACCCAGCTCTGATGCATAGCCTAAATCCCCAACCTAGTAAATAGAAACAAAAACAAATATCGAATTCTTGAGAATGCAAAAAGAACTTATTCACATGATCCAGTAAAATTAAAATGGAATGCAGATCATTAGCATGCTGGACAACTTACAGTATCAGCATATATAACACTAGCACCACCTCCAGCTACCATTGTCCAGATCCGTCCTTTTGGATTCAGAACAGTGAATTTCAAAGATGCACTTGTCTGTCAAATTAAGATCAAACTTGAGTAATCCTCTGCTCTGCACTGTGCAGCATCAAATTCCACATTAACATGAGCAAACAAATGTGTATAATACCTTCTCATCCAATGAATGAATGAAGCTCTCAGTAGGGCTCAGAACTCTCCCAAAAGGCAGTGGAAACTCTATGTTACCCCACCTGAATGCATAAAATTATTGGATGACAAAAACATCCCGTAGGACTTGTAAAAATAATTATACATAGATATACTAGATTGGTCTTTATATATAGATATAATCAATTGATCATGGCCTAGCACATAATTATACATACTTCTTAAAATTCTTGAAGGCAGCAGTATCATCCAACTCTCCCCTCATATCCAGTGGATATGGCTCCCCATGCACCAATGTAAATGGATTCATCTCTATAAAACTGAAGTCCAGATCTGTAGAAAAATTTATAGAAGTTTGATGCTTACAGTTATCAACTCTAAGAAGCTGCTCTAATCAACAAAAAGAAAAAGTGTGAAATGAATGGGAAACTTTGTTTTCTGCAAAAGAGTTGCTAATGTTTTTTTTAAGATAAAAAGCATGAATATATATTAATAGGATACCAATGGGGGGTACCACCCATTTATAAAAGAATTTACAAAGTTGTTCGGGTATCTATAACATTCCCAAAATCCTCATCATGATCCAAAACAAAGAGGTTGCTAATGTTTTGACATGTTAATTACTGTGGTTATAAATTCATTTATAACCACAAAAATTATTAAGCATGTAGAAATAGAATGATCCCACTATAGATTAACAGGGAAAGAACTAAATGCCTTCGACAAATCATGTAGTTTATTATTTTCCAAAACATGCACTGGAATAACATATTGAAACCTTAGAAACATTCAATACCTTGAAATACAGCGAAGACACCCATTATAAAATCACCAATTTTCCCTCGAACCTATATAGTATAGAAGAAGAATCAGCACATGCTATAATTAAAATAGAAACGAAGTCCTCAACTATGAGAAACCGAAAAGATAAGAGTGACTGGCTCCTGTCAACTGCCAATGAGCATGTCAATTTGTCAATAACATGCACTTGATGTAGAAACTATAGATCAATCACCTGAAGGCCACAATTTTCTTTGCAAGTGCCCATACTATTTGGTCACCAGGACAAACATAATTTCATCTACATGTCAAAAAAAAAGTATGAAAGACAGAAAAGACTATGAAAAGGTTATAGAAACTCACTTCCAAAGGAAGAGTTGCTATCAGTGGAGCACATGCCTCCAGTGTCATAGGTTTTTCAGTTGGAAGAAATACAGTCTTAACCTGCTCAAATCAGAAACAAGATTTCTAGGTCAACATTTTTTGCTGCAACCAGCCAGTAACATCATAAAGTTGGCCTCTGAAGGGAATTGAGAAAGTACAGAAAACAGCTGAGCTGAACTTTGTGGCTATACCTTATCCCAGTTTTCTTCAATTTCAATACCTCCGCACTCTGAGAAGCTAATAGTGCATCCAAGCCTTTCAGATATTATTGAAAGGTAATATTCTTGGTCATGAGGAACAAATGGTTCAACAATAAAGGTTGTTATTGGCGCCTTGCAACCACCCATCTCAACCTTACGAAGGCTCAGTTAAACCAGTACTAATATGAACTCACATAAAAAATAAAAAAATAAAAAATAAAACAGCAAAAAATAACCCGTTTTCACTTGATTAATGAGGTTACCTCAACTCCAAGACGTGATTTGACAAATTCTGCAACTTGAGCTAGATCTAAATTCAAAGCCACCATCCCACTTTTCCCACGCTTCCCAAACAGCATATCAGGCTTCACCACCAATCTTGTGGATGAAGCCATGGCTCTTGGTTTGTTAGCTCTGTGAAGTCCGTAGATTGAGTCACCTAAAGGATATAACTAATATATCACATATCTATTCACTGAAAGAATAATAAAGCTCCTCGCTATTATTCCGAAAATAAGAAACCACTTTACAAGCAGCATCTATCTCGGATTGCTCTATAATTGAAGCAAAATTTTCAAATTCCTGAGCAGCTAAACACGAGCAAACATTATTTCTATGATTCATTCAAATTCACGGTTTCAGATTCAACCAAAATCCATCAAGTTCGCAAGCAATATCTTCAAAATTTCAATCGAACCCAATTACTGAGACAAATAGATAAAAGTTGGCAGCCAGTTTTAACTCTTGAACCACGAAATATATATATATATATATCTTAAGCCACCAATCCGTGGAAAATGGAGCATAACTTCCAAAAACAACTCATTCACGAGTAACTGAATCGGAAGAGACCCGAATCCACAGATAATAAAGACAGACGCAATCATACGTACATAAATGGATGGAGAGGCAAGTCGCATACCTGAGCAGAGCAGATCTGGAGGTCAATTCCAGCAAGACGCTTCAAGTGCTCCTTGAGGAGCTTCTTGGAATCGTACTCTCTGATCTTCTTTCGGGCCATTGAACAAAACTCACCACACTTTGAAAATTTTCAAGATCTGTAAACAACAACAAGACAACCGCAACTAAGCTCTGGACAGACCAGACCCTTCGAGCAAGTGCTCTGAAGTAGGCCGAAAATAAAACAAAATAAAGAATTACTTGAATGATATTGGAAATGATTTTTCAGTTTAGAAAATGGGTTGAAGAAGACGATTAGGCGTACCAGACGCAAGAAAATTGGGAATGGCGATGACCAGCGTTGCGGGTTTGATTTGGCGAGCAACTTGGGCAAGAGACGTTATGCGAGGGGAAGCACACTTACCGTTCTCCTTGCTTGCATTTCTCCTAATTCCACATTCATCCTTGTCGTTAAAAATACTTAGAGAGTGTTGTAAGAGGTGGTCTGATGGAAATTTATGAGAAAATAGGAGGGTAATTTTGGAAAGGCGAGGTAGGTGGTAGATAAATCAGTTAGCATGTGGGTTGGGTGTGACAATAATTCCCTGTTAGTTGGCAGCAGAGGGGTTGGTCTGCTATTCAATAAAACGACTCGTTTTATGTTGTGGCTCCAGAATTTTGGACCTTCACTTGCCCATTAGCCATTTAGAAGGCTGGTATTACCGCCACGCAGGAGCCCATCTCCATAATATGATCCAAATATCTATATCTATCTATCTCTATATATATATATATATATATATTGAAGCTTGAGACTTTATAAGTGATGGGTGAAAGGAACCAACTACAACTACTAGATTAGGATATTATATCATTCTTATAGAAAATATGATTCCAAGTATTTTATTGCATTTTATTTTTTCAATGTTATTTTTATGATTTTTATATCAAATTTCCACATCATCTTCTAACTAGACTAAATATAATGTTTTTAAAGTTAATTTTACATAAACAATATTAATCCCTTTGTAATTATATCCGATATCATTGACCGTCACTTTCACAGGTTATACGCTTAACTCGTTTAATACTTATACTTAGATTAGGCCGAGTTAGGTTTAGGCAAATAGAATTTGGTCGACCGAATTTGAGTTTTGTCATTTTCAGTCAAATTATTGAATATATGAAATCTAATTAAACGTATAATTTTATATTAAGAGTTTAACTTAACACAAATTGAGAAATATAAAGTTAAAAAAATAAATAACCTATCCCGAGTTGTTTAATTGACAAGTCAGAGATTTTTAACTTCATTGGTTATTTAGACACTTGAATTCACTAATTATTAGTTTTTTGCATTCACCTTCAATATTTAATTAATTAGAGTTATATTGACTAATTTTATTATTAGACTTTTACGTAATGTATTTAATAAACACTTATTAAGAATTTTATAAACAAGATATGACAATAATAACTAAACAAATGATATTAATTATGATAATTTTTATGAAATTTTATATTAATAATAAATAGCATAAAAAGTGAAGTCGATTATAGGGTTTAACCATCAGAATGTCAAAAATTTAGTCGTATTGACTACACTAGTTTAGTTTATTTATTCATTTGTTTGCCGTATTTGGTCTAAGTCAATTACGATTTGTTTAATTCATTCGACAATATATCTGTAATCTAACTAAATTAAGTGCAAAAAATATTTGTACATTGTTATTATATTTAAGTATTCAAAGTATCAACATTATAATTTTGTAGAGAATTATATTATATTTTAAAAAATAAATGCAAAATTATTTATTTAACACTAACTATTTGTACAACGTAGATTGATTAATTTTTATATTTTTCTTAAATTATACTATGGAAGATGAAGTAAAAAAAAAATATTCAGTATTTATTAAATTATTAAAATTTAATTGATATTGACCAAGTTTTCATCTTGAAACTCTTACACCAACGCTAAATAAAGTTTTTACAGAGAGTTTATTATTTGAGACATAGAATTTTACCTTCGTTAATTCTCTAACATCAACATATATGAGTTGTTTGAAACGACATAATTGTTATTAAATTAAATGAATTTTGTTTATGTTAAAATGCATAAAAAATCCCAATCATTCATAGAATTTGATCCGAGATAGATTAACCAAATCGATTGTCTATTTGTTTCCCGCCAGATTTAAGGGAGAGTGGAACTTTTGGTTCCCGCCATATTTTTATTCCAGATGGCCCTAAAGAAAAACGGCATCGTTTGGCCTATTCTTTGCCTTTTAAACGACACCGTTTACGCAGAGTCTGGATATCCGAGAATGCCCTCCCATAAAGGATAGAATTCCTCTTGCCCCTGACAGAGTTATCGTTAATTTACTAAAAAACCCCTTTCCCATCTCATTAGGACCTCAATTATTTTGTCCGGATATTGGACCCTTCTGTGAAACAAGGAAATTAGGAGGGTATTTAAGTAACTTCGTGCCCAAAGTCGGTGGCAAGATTCGTAAATTTCGAGTCTATCGGGCCTATGTTTCTTGTTCGCCAGAGCTTACTCCCCTTTTCTTATTTCGGGCTTAGGCTTACCGCTCTCACGACTCCCTCTGAATCAAATTCACTCTCATCTTCGCTCCTCCTCCCTCTCTCTATTCTTCGCTTCTCATCTCTTTAATTTTCACCTTCTTCATACTCGAAGACTAACATTTAGTTTAGATATAGACATTTCGACTATCAATCGCCATTTTTCTTGAATTTCGGTGAGTATTTTCTTTTAGTTTTTCTCTTATCTCTATCGATCTCATCTTTCTTCTCTAAAACCCTAACCCTAGCTTCGTTTCTCTGTCTCGAAGACTTTTTATCGCGCCGCCGAAGTAGATCTTTCCCTTAATCGGCGTCGAAAGCTACGGGTTTCGAATTTGGATATCCACACCGCAAATCCGTGCCGACTGGACATGTGAGTATTATCGGTTCCGTTTCTGGAAATACGTGCTTGAAAAGTTATTCGAAGCCAAAATTACTCGTTGAAATTCGACCTTTTTCCTTATTGTATATTTTTCTATAAATTAAAAGAATTCATGTTTATCGTTCGTTATTTTTGTCATTAGAATGATCAATTCTTATGTCGCAAGCCTGTTGCAGATAGATTACAATTTCAATGAAAGATCATCGGAATGAGAGTGCCCACCCTCCTAACGGGGCGGCTGCTGGACCTGGGAATCCTTACTCGATTGATCTCAAGAGCTTTGGCACACGATTGAAAACCTTGTATGAACACTGGAATAATCACAAAGTTGATCTCTGGGGCTCTTCCGATGTTCTCACAATAGCAACACCCCCTGTTTCAGAGGATTTAAGGTACTTAAAATCCTCTGCTTTGAACGTTTGGCTTTTTGGATACGAGTTCCCGGAGACAATCATAGTTTTCTCGAGGAAGCAAATCCATTTCTTGTGTAGCCAGAAGAAGGCTTGGCTTCTTGAAGTTGTCAAGAGGCCTGCCAAGGAGGCTGTAGGTGCTACTGTCGTGATGCACGTGAAGGCTAAAGCAGACGATGGAACTGGACTGATGGATGCGATTTTCCGTGCTATCCGTGGACAATCCAAGGATGACGGCAACGATTCTCTTTTTGTTGGGTACATGGCTCGAGAGACACCTGAAGGAAATCTTTTGGAGATATGGTCTGATAAACTGAAAAATGCAGGATTTCAGCTCGTTGACATGATAAATGGGTTGTCCGATCTGTTTGCTGTTAAGGACGGTACTGAGATATTGAATGTTAAAAAGGCTGCTTATCTAACTTATAACGTAATGAACAATGTTGTGGTTCCAACACTTGAGAGCGTCATTGACGAAGAAAAGAAAGTCACTCATTCTCACTTAATGGATGAGGCAGAGAAAGCCATACTGGACCCCTCAAAGGCCAAAGTGAAGCTGAGGGCAGAAAATGTTGATATATGTTACCCGCCAATATTTCAGAGTGGAGGGGAATTTGATCTCAGGCCTAGTGCTGCCAGCAATGATGAGTTGTTATATTATGATTCCGCCAGTGTGATATTATGTGCAGTTGGTGCCAGATATAAGAGTTACTGCTCAAATATTGCTAGGACCTATCTGATTGACGCCACTTCCCTTCAGATCAAGGCTTATGAGGCTCTTCTCAAAGCTCATGAGGCTGCAATTAATGCACTGAAGCCTGGAAATAAGGTAAGTGCTGCCTATCAAGCTGCTGTTGCTGTGGTTGAGAAGGACGTACCGAATTTATTACCCAATTTGACTAAATCTGCTGGAACAGGCATTGGTCTTGAGTTCCGTGAGTCAGGGCTTAATATTAATGCGAAGAATGACAGAATTGTGAAGCCGGAGATGGTTTTTAATGTATCTCTTGGTTTCCAGAACTTACAGAACCTGAGTAATAATCGGAAAAGTCCGAATTTTGCCCTGTTACTGGCAGATACAGTTATTGTCGGACAACAAAATCCAGAGATTTTGACTTCTAAGTGCTCTAAAGCTGTTAAGGATGTGGCTTACTCATTCAAGGAGGATGACGAAGAAGAAGAAAAGTCAAGAGCGAAAGCTGAGGTCAAATCAGAGGCTTTCATGTCCAAGACAACGCTCAGGTCAGATAATCATGAGATCTCCAAGGAGGAGCTTCGGAGGCAGCACCAGGCAGAGCTTGCACGACAAAAGAATGAAGAAACTGCTCGGAGACTTGCTGGTGAGAGAAATGGAGCAGGAGACCATCGTGCAGCTTCAAAGACCTCTACTGATTTGGTTGCTTACAAGAATGTTAATGATCTACCCCCTCCTAAAGATTTTATGATTCAGGTCGACCAGAAGAATGAGTCTGTGCTGTTGCCTATATATGGAAGTATGGTCCCCTTCCATGTTGCTACAATAAGGACAGTTTCTAGCCAACAAGACACCAATAGGAATTGCTACATTCGCATAATATTTAATGTTCCTGGGACTCCTTTTAATCCCCATGACACAAACTCCTTGAAATTCCAAGGGGCTATTTATTTGAAGGAGGTCTCTTTCCGCTCTAAGGACCCAAGACACATAAGTGAAGTGGTGCAGTCGATTAAAACACTAAGACGGCAAGTTGTAGCCAGAGAATCTGAAAGAGCTGAGAGGGCAACCTTGGTTACACAGGAGAAACTTCAGCTTGCAGGGAACAAATTTAAACCAATAAGGTTGCCTGACCTTTGGATTCGTCCCGTTTTTGGAGGTCGTGGAAGAAAGATTCCAGGAACACTTGAAGCTCATGTAAATGGTTTTCGATTCTCTACTACTAGGCCCGACGAGCGTGTGGATATCATGTTCGCGAATATAAAGCACTCATTTTTCCAGCCAGCGGAGAGAGAAATGATAACTCTTCTTCACTTCCACTTGCACAATCACATAATGGTGGGGAACAAAAAAACCAAGGATGTGCAAGTTTATGTTGAGGTGATGGATGTTGTGCAGACATTGGGAGGTGGAAAGAGGTCTGCCTATGACCCAGATGAAATTGAAGAAGAACAGCGGGAGAGAGATAGGAAAAATAAGGTCAACATGGATTTTCAGAGCTTTGTGAATCGTGTGAATGAACTTTGGCAGCAGCCCCAATTTAGTGGTCTAGACCTTGAGTTTGATCAGCCTTTGAGAGAACTGGGCTTCCATGGGGTGCCATACAAGGCCTCGGCTTTCATAGTCCCAACTTCAAGCTGCTTAGTTGAGTTGATTGAGACTCCTTTTCTTGTTGTCACCTTGAGTGAAATTGAGATTGTGAACCTGGAGAGAGTTGGTCTTGGGCAGAAGAATTTTGATATGACCATTGTCTTTAAGGACTTCAAGCGTGATGTACTTAGGATTGATTCAATCCCTTCAACTTCACTTGATGGCATTAAAGAATGGCTTGACACAACTGATATCAAGTACTATGAGAGCAGGTTGAATCTCAACTGGAGGCAGATCTTGAAGACAATCACTGATGATCCACAAAGCTTCATTGATGATGGAGGTTGGGAATTTTTGAACTTGGAAGCTAGTGACTCAGATTCTGAGAACTCAGAAGAATCAGACAAGGGTTATGAGCCATCAGATTTGGAATCTGAATCTGAATCTGATGATGATGCTTCCGATAGTGAATCATTAGTAGAATCTGAGGATGAAGAGGAGGATTCAGAAGAAGACTCAGAGGAGGAAAAAGGGAAAACATGGGAGGAGTTAGAAAGGGAAGCAAGCAATGCAGACAGAGAGAAAGGTGATGAATCAGACAGTGAGGAAGAGAGAAAGAGGAGGAAGCTGAAGGCATTTGGGAAGTCTCGAGCTGGTCCTAGTAGTAGTCTTCCCAAAAGGTCAAAGTTGAGATAGATTCAATAGGCAGTTAGAGCATGTAGCTCTTCTAGCATAACAACTTTTTGGGTGAGTGACTAAGTATATAATTCATTCATTTGTCGTCTTCTGTACTTTATTTTAATTTCTTTGTCTTGTATAATATAGTAGCCTAGCAGAATGCATGGAATTCTTGTGTTATCCATTCCTCTTTGAGTGAAGCCAATGGGTATGGTTTGTGAAGAAGACCAGAGGTCCAGTGAAGGTCCCAATTTATGCAATGGTGTGTCAGAAACTTTTTGCCATTAAACCTGACAGTTTTGTGTAAACTAGTGAATAATGGTGTTATATTATGCACCATGTTTTGCCTCCAGAGCCCTTCCAGTTTGCATATTCCTTTAGTGTATGTATCCTTTAGTTTACATTTTGATGATAATATGTTACGGCTATCAGATGAAATGTTATATATGGGGTTTGGGTCTGTTACAACCTTTATATGGAAGAGTAGCATTTAGTGGCACTCAGTATTATCCCTGAGTTAAATTGGGCACTATAGGACTTTTTGGTTGATAGTAGTCTGATGAGATCATCTGGCATCGTAGCAGCCACATATTAGTTGTGAAGTGGTGACTGATGATGGTATTGGGCTGCTGAAAAGGAGGTGAGAACATAGAGAATACTATGTTCTTGTAGCTATTGGAAAAGATATTCAATTTAAAAATATATTAATCAAATATTTGGGCGACAGTATAAAGTTTGGAGGACATCTTTTGGATGTAACATTGTTTGTTTACTTGCCAAGAAATTGGGTTGTCTGGTTAACAGGGTGTAAAGTCTCATATATGGATTCTCCCATTTCATAGATTTGGTGGTTTAAATTTTAGTTGGCACCCAGATGTTTGTGCAATCACATGTGAGAGGACCTAGTATGTTTGGCAAGCATATTTGCGATGTTTGATTTATAACTGATTGGTTGTCCGAAGAAGTAAATTTGTGGTCCCTTACTGTTTCTTACTTAGTTGGTTTGTTGTAAGCATCTTCACACATGGAAATGGCTGTTAGAACTTTTGTTATTCTTTTAGTGGCAGTTTCAGTGTGCAACCTGGGAAGTTTTGTTACTTTTAATTGAAATTAAGGTTAAGGTTGGTTTTGTGGTTAGCTGTGATGCGATGAATCTTGTGTTATGTTTTTGTTTTTTGTTGTTCTCAGCCTTGTTTTTTGCTGCATACTTGTTTTAGGTAACTCGGCTGTGAATACTGGTTGATGGTGGTGGACTCAGGCATGCTGTGTGTGCGACGATAGTGGTGGAGTATGTAGGTTACCTGAGGAATATTTGGTAAGACAAAGGTTCGCAACAGCATGTATTAAAAGTCAAGGCCATAGATTGAAATGGCACGCCAGTTCCATTTCCATTCTCAAGACATGGGGTATGAGAAGTTTGGGGAATAGCATGTATTCAACAGCTATCATGAAGGTAGTTTGGTTTAGCTTTTTTCTTTCCCTTTCTTTTTGGTTTAAAATGCGACTGAGGGCGGACTGTATCACTGTGCCATGAATGTTTTAGGATTTGAGCCACTGGTTAAAGTGGAGGGTGGATCAAACCCCCACTTCAAGTGCCACTTGGCATCTCTAGCTAGGTTACAGGTAGAGGTAGAGTAATATTTGTTGTCTGTTTTGAGGGTTTAGTAATTGTACCACAGAACCATTCCTGTTTCTCCAGCACATGGTGGCATTTTGGAATGACTTCACAAGCTGCAGCAATTGAATCTTGATTTGTAGGCTTGTCGGTTGTGGAAATAGTTCATTATCTGAGTCAGTGCATGAGTATCATTTTGCTTAAAATCAGAGCCGAAAATCTCCGAAGCTGATTTAAGTGTGTGAAATGTTCTTCTTGTTTTTGGTGGTGCCGATTTAGAGTAGAATTTATTATGTGTTCCTTAATAAAACATGTGTCTCAGATTTTTTGAAAAGGGGAGAGTCTAAAAGCTCTTGAAAGATATGATCGTCACGAATATCAGAAATAGACCTTTAAAATTTTGTATTATTTGTGATGATTAATAGGAATATATATATAAATATTAAATGAAATTTATGGGTTAAATTAAATGATTCAACATCGGTTTACAGGAAGAATCAGACTGCAGTCCTCTTTGCTATTATAAAATGTAATTCTAATGTCATTTTAAGATTATGGGACTATTTTTTCCTGTGATTTGAAATTAATTTATAGTAAATTTTCAGTCATTTATTGAATAATAAATTATTACAAGCGATTGTTTAAATATTATATTTAAAATGGCTAAAAAAGTAAAACAAATTTGATGGTCACGAGAGAACGTCGATTTTGTACTTTAATAAACTGTATGAGAAGTTTAATTATAAGATGTTTTTTTATTATCAAAAACTGTAGAGTTGTATGGAGTAGGTTCGGGTGGAAGAAACAAATGATCGGGGCAGGGTGGGCGAACCTTCTTATATTACATACATATATGGATGGTAATTACTAAATCAAAGTCGTACTCCACATCAACTCTTCTTCTTCTTCTTCTTTGTTATTCAATTTAGGGTTTTGTTTTTGGCGTCGCTGAATAAAGAAGAGGAAAGAGAGAGAGAGAGGCGAAAGCAGGAGGGCGCCGCCTGAGCAGAAGACGAAAGTCGGTGGGAATCACGGAGGGAGCATTGGCGGCTGATGATGATGAGTGATTGACGAAGGCGGCAGAAGTGAGAAGCACAAATAGAGGGGAAGAGAGAAGAGGGAGAGCGGCAAGACCGAAACGGGGAAAAGAGAGAAAAAAAGGGAGAGAGAGAGAGAGAGAGGAGCTGCGGCTATAAGATGAGCGTGTGATTCGAAGAGGAAAAAGGGGAAGCGGCTAGGGTTTCGTGTAGCGATTTGAAGAGGAAAAAGGAGGAAAGTCTGAACAAGTACAAGGCTTCTGGGTTCCAAAAAGTGGAAGATATTTTACGGGAAGAGAAAATATTTGGGAAGTGATTTTAGGAGTTTAACAAGCCCTAGAGCCGAGAATCGAGAGGGTTTAGAGGAGAGAGAGACTCGATTTTGAGGAATAATTTTAGCGGTTCCAGAGAGGAGAGAGTCTAGATAGGGTTTTTGGGGCGAAGAGGAATCGAGTGCATTTGGAAGGAGAAGGGAGGCTTTCGAACCTACAGCTAAGCAGTTCAGACCGGGAACGGTATATGCTTAGTTTATTTGGAGAACACGGGATGACCTGAATTAAATTGACATCATGTTTGAAATTTCTTTCCATGCTAATGATAAATAATGAACAGAGCTTCTCCTTGTTTGATGTGTCTTTCCCAAATGCTTAATATCGGATAATGAAACTCTTAAATCTACCATGACCTTTCTCTGAAATTCTGATTATGTACTAGTTTATTTTTGTTACCCTTTTTATATCACCCTCTTCAAATATCACATAATTTCCCATTAGCTTCAAAATAAACATGTTCTTAATTTCTTTACATGATGGCAGCAAGTCTTTTGGATATGTCTGCTATGCTGATACGCGTTTCTTCTCCTGACTTCCATTAACACCCCCCTCTTTTGGTCCGTATTTTCAGTTACAGGGTTCTGGGTTTGGATAGTGGATACAAGATTTTTAGTTGTAAAACGGGTTAATTTGCGTGCATTAACACCAGGGCTTTTTAACATGGTTTCTTTTCATTAGGCGTACATAAAACCTCTTTGCACAAAACCCTAATGAAGATTTTCTCAGTTCTCTGTTTCATAGTGCATTCGAGTTTCATGTTGCTTGGTTTTCATTCCTTTCCTTGTTTTTCTTGTTCTTAGTTAATCCCATCCTATCGGGGTTGCCTCTTGGTTTTGAGTCATCAAGTAAATTATAGTCATCCATTTACCTTTGGCGTTTTCTTACATAGCACAAAAAAGATGTTTTTATTGCTATATAGAAAGTTTATGCTGAGTATGTGGAGGATATGTCTAGGAATGGGTAATCACTGGTTATGCTGTGGTGTGCGTCATGGTGCGTATAGAAAAAGTTTTGGCCCATGGATTCTTTGTATGGAATGAAAAGATGAAATAAAGGATAGAGAAGTGATTTGGAGATCCTGGAGAAATTAGTTGAGTTCTTTCTTTCTGGTTTGACGTTGCATCACATAAAAGTTGATGAGTCTTGAGTTCTGTAAAGTGTATTCTTTGTGATTTTTTGGTCTTATGCAATTTTGGTTGTTTTATTATCTTTGCCTAGTTGATTGGTGATACTCAATGAAAAGTGAATTCAGTTGCACTTTTGTTTTTGTTTAGATTTTATTTTACTTGTTTTTGGCTTATTTAAGGCGAACTTGATTATTTTTTAACGATGAATGGTTATTATTGGTCTTTACTGCTTGTAAGCTAGATAAAGGTGAATCATCATGAATGGTTGTTCTTTTTTGAGACAGATGGATGCTTAGGGTATGATAAATCTATGAAAAATTTGAGAAGGCTTGCTGTCGCTTATATTGTGGCACTATCAACTATCTTTTTCTCTACAAATTAGTATTATATTTTTGAAATAACAATGTTCTATACTATTTTGTTTTAACCTTTTGGGGTTTGGAGTTGGATGTCATTTGTTTTTTCGGCATTAATTAGTTCTGTGTTGAGAATTCTTGTAAACTAGCTTTTCTTGATGCTTACCTTCTTTCATGTATTTTTATTGCAGTGAACCCATTAAGTCCTCACATTTGTTTTAATTTAGGTATTCATTTTAGTTTCGAATGGCATACACTTCTCTCTGAATCAGCTTAAAGATCCCTGTCTTTTGAAATTTCTATGCCTCTTTTGGCTGAGTAAATATGTAGCATGATTTTCTTCAGAAAACTTTGTTAATTCATACAGTACTTAATGGTTAATACTTTGCTTTCTCTTAATTGCCACAGTTTGTCTTAGGTTTATATGTTGTGCTAGTCCACAATGTCCAAGGATCATTCAGTCAGCATTAAGGATGCAATATACAAGCTGCAGCTCTCTCTTCTGGATGGCACTAAAGATGAATCTCAGCTCTTTGCAGCTGGCTCCTTGATGTCTCGTAGTGACTATGAAGATGTTGTCACTGAGCGGACAATATCAAACCTTTGTGGTTACCCTCTCTGCAACAATTCGCTTTCATCTGATCCTCAGAGAAAGGGAAAATACCACATTTCGTTGAAGGAGCATAAAGTCTATGACTTACAGGAGGTCAGAAGGTTTTGTTCCTCAAGTTGTCTCATTGAGAGTCGCGCTTTTTCAGGGAGTTTGCAGGAAGAGCGATGTTCAATCTTGAATGCAGTTAAACTAAATGAAATTCTAGATATGTTCGAAGATTTGAGTTTGGATAATTCTGCAGAGGACTTAAAGGAGATTGGGGACCTTGGGTTGTCTAGACTGAAGATTCAGGAGAATACAGAGACAAAGGTTGGGGAAGTGCCTTTGGACGAGTGGTTGGGGCCCTCTAATGCAGTAGAAGGCTATGTTCCAAAAAGGGACCGTAAATCCAAGGCTCCACATGCAAGATATAGCAAAGATGGTATAATTGTTTAATATTGAGCCTGTTTTTCAGTGAAGCTAATTTGTTATTGGAGGGTCATTTGGGGATTTTAAGCATCCTATCAATTGTTGTTTCTTTGGTTTCTAGTGTTGCACTTTATTATATCCAGTACTTGTTCTCTGCCGGTTAGACTTTGTTATATTCTTTAGGTCTTAATTGATAGTATGAGTGCAGATTTCATCTCAGTTTGCAGAAGCTCTGCCAATTTTTCATCTCTGTTCAGAAAAATATGATCCTGTATTGTCCTACTATTGCAGAGTCTAATTCTAATCATGCTAAGCCAAGTACCAGGGAAGATTTTCCCATTAACAAGATGGGTTTCATGAGTGCTATAATCACCAGTGACGAATATGGAACTTCTAATGAGCGATCGGCTTTATTAGAGGCCTGTTCTACTAAGATGCTTGAAGAACAAAAAATGAAAGGAATTTGTAGAGATTTGGAGCAGCAGGCTGTTGTATCAGAATCTCCATCTGCTCCTTGTAGAAAAGATTCTGGTAGAAAGTCAAAAGAATCAAGAGGGGAAGTTAAAATCATTGCAGAAGATGAGCATACATTTGAAGAAACTTATGATGGTTCTGTTACGGATAATGCTCAAGAAGAAAATAGGTCTCTTTTCAAAAAAGCAGGTGGATCAAGTGGGATGCTCAAACCTTCTCTCAAATCTTCTGGTGCAAAAAAACTTGGTCGGTCAGTTACTTGGGCTGATGAAAAAACTGATTGTGTTGGAAGTGGTAAGCTTTGTGAGCTTAGGGACATGAAAGATACAACAGTAAGCTCGCAGGCATATGGTGGTGTAGACAAGTATGTCGTTGATAGCATGGCACGTCTTGAATCAGCAGAAGCGTGTGCTATAGCATTGAGCCAGGCAGTGGAGGCTGTTGCTTCTGGGAATTCAGATGTTAGTGATATTGGTATGTCTTTTTTTTTTTGAGTTCTGATGGTTTGTTCTTAACTTCTGACTTTCTGAAATCTTGTATCATAATGCATACTGTGTCCAGTGTCTGAAGCTGGGATAATTATATTGCCACACCCGCATGATATCAATGGCGGAGAGCCTGTTGATGACGGAGAGCAAGTGGAGGATGTTGATATGCTTGAGCCTGAACCAACTTCTCTGAAGTGGCCTCTAAAGCCGGGAATTCCACATTCTGATGTATTTGACCCTGAAGATTCTTGGTTTGATGCTCCACCAGAGGATTTCAGTTTAACTGTAAGTCGTGACCACTCTTTATAGTGCAACTGTTTAATACTCTGTTTTGGATTGATCTTCTATTGTTACTACCTTCCAGTTATCAACCTTTGCAACAATGTGGAACACAATCTTTGGATGGATAACATCTTCTTCTTTGGCTTATATTTATGGGAAGGATGAAAGTTTTCATGAGGATTATTTTTTTATTAATGGGAAGGAGTACCCCCGGAAGATTGTCCTGGGAGATGGTCGTTCTTCTGAAATCAAGGAAACTCTTGCTGGTTGTCTTGGTCGGGCTCTGCCTGGACTTGTGGCTGATCTTGGGCTGCCAACCTCAATATCTGATATTGAGAAGGGATTGGTACTGATATTCGTCCTATTATTTTTTTTGGAGTTTTCATATTTCATCTACTATGTTAAGTTAAAACTGGATGCTGATTCAGGTCTTAAAGAATAGGGACTGCTAAATATCTTTTTAGAGTTCAACGCTGTATATGTGGGTCATCGCTCAGTTTTCATAGGGATGACTCTGTCCTTTGACGCACATATTTTTCAAGGCATTTGCAATAATATCCTTTCCAGATATCAATACGGATGAAAGCTAATGTATTGCATGGAGGCTGCTATGGCTTAAAAAGGGTTTTGCTCTATAATGTTCAGGCCTGCCAGTTTCCTAAATAGTTTGACCTTATTGTTTTCTCTGTTTCTATAATTGTTGATGGTTATTGTTCATTGTGGGAACTTTCTTTGCTGTCTTAGATATCTCATTGAGAGCATGTTCTACATGTCAGTTTGTGCTCACATAGTTTCATCTATGTATGACTGTTTATCTGTAGCCATGTTTGATTTTTCAGTGAATGGAAAGAAAATGTACTTGTGGTTGAATGTCTTGTATTTCCATTATGAAAGTTAATTTGTAACCTTAATTTCTCACATAAAGGAAAAGCTCTTTTGCCATTTGTTCCTTTCAAGTATGCACAAATTTTGGATGAAGTAAAATTGTTTGTTGTTTGATTAAGTATCACCGGAAACTCCTTGTACAGGGGTGCTTGTTGGATACAATGTGTTTCACTGATGCACTTCCGGCATTCAGAATGAAGCATTGGCAAGTTATTGTTCTTCTTTTTCTGGACGCTTTATCTGTGTGTCGGATCCCTGCAATTTCTCCTTACATGACGAACGGAAGGATGCTGCTTTATAAGGTGAGGCCTTTTAACAATTAAGTTAATAGGGGGAAAGGTGTAAGAGAGAAAATGAATATTAGCTTTGTTGATAACTGGGGAATTCATGTTGCTCAAGACCAGGGTGAGGAAACTGGTTTTCTGATGTGAACCATCAAGTGAATAAAATTTGTAATGCCTCAACTGTTGGGGGGAGGCCAAGTCTCTCCAAAGAGGAATGGGACTAGGGGCAGCGATACTTTGATTTGCTATCGCTGAGTTTCTATTTGTGAGGATTATTCCTGAGTTATATATTGTTGCATGTTGGGAGATTTTGAGTAATATATTTTTGTGGTGATGAAACAGGTCTTGAATGGTGCGCAGATGAGCATGGAAGAGTATGAGATAATGAAGGATCTCCTAATACCGCTTGGCCATGCACCTCAGTTCTCCATGCAAAGTGGGGATTAATTCAGGAACTTTTCTTTTTTCTTGTTGAAGTAGTAATTAAACTACGGGGATGTCAGTCACACCTAATCCTTTCCTTCCTTGAACGAACTGTACGTATTCATAGAAATATTAAAACTATAAATCTGTAAATGCACCCTGGAGTAGAGGGAGGCTGGCAGGAACATGCAGTTCTGTGGGGACTACTATGTTGAAGCTATGTGGGGTTTAATTTTCTTAAATGAAAGAGCCTGGAGAACTGAAGCAAAATTGTTAAAAATATAATATTTGTCTCTGAATAATTAAACACCTTTTTGACTTTTGTAAGAGGATCATTGTTTCTCCAATCGTTATAAATCTTATTCCCCGAATATATTCAAGATTCCTTCCCATGGCTGACGAAAAGCAAAATATTTTCCAATTAAAACATTTAAAAAATATTCTAATATGCATTATAATATTTTCAATCAATTTATTCGGCTTTAAGAAAGTTGAAAGAGTCAAATAATTAGAATTACAAAAGATTTTATTATTAACATTATCCACCATTTTTTTTTTTTTCTTCCTTTGGGTTTATGGTATTTGAGAAGGGTCGTTACTTTTAGCTGTGAGGCCTTTTTTCCATTTGGATCTTCTACTTCCTAGGATCTTTTTGGTGGTTTGCATCTTGGATCTTTAGGGATCGTGTCGGGGGATTTCAGGTCCCGCTCCTTTGGCGCTCTTTATAATGTGCGGATTTTCTGTTTTTTGGAAGTAGAATTTGTAGGTTTTCCTGGTTAGGTCTTTGGACTCCCCTTTTCTCTTCATTTGGTTCCCAAACCCTTGTTTTTATTTTTTTTATTTTTCAATGATTTATGCTTTTCTGTGTATTATTTATTTATTATTATTGTTATTATTTTTAATAAAACTTCCTCTCTGGTTTCTTTTCGTACATGTTTGCCCGTCTTGCACTGCCTATGCGTATTTTGAAGTATAATTTATGTGAATGCTAATTGTTAATGATTTTTTTCTTTTTCTTTTGAAAGCTGATTGTTAATGAAATTGAACCAAATAAGATAGAAACTTTTACCCATATTAGGTACATTATGCACTCAGCTGTAACTAGCCTACATGGAAATACTTATCATTATTATTACTAATATTAAAATTATTATTTAAATTTAGGAGGAATTTTGAGAGAAAAGGCCTGAAATTTTTGAATTTTCTGCGCTAAGCTGTAGCTGAAGTCAATTCGTCCGGTTTGAAGTGTAGATGTGATAGTGTGCACTAGTTTGACCTAACTAGCTAGGTGTAATAGGAGGGAAGAAGTTAAATAATGGAGATTATTAATGTGAATATCATATTCTTTTGTGTATGCCCCACTCAACATATACGTTCAATAGTATGGATAAGCTGAATGGATTCAGAAACTGTAATATGGTTTATGTAGTTCTTACTTTTTAGTTGACGATCTACTGCAGTTTGATGCTCGGTGTTCTTGAAAAGTAACAAGCTCAGGACACTCTTTTGTCCTACATATGGCCTCAGTAGGCATGGCGCCTACTTCTGTTTTGAGAGATCCCAGTGGCCATGCTGCTGGTGTTGATAGGCTACCCGAGGAGATGAATGACATGAAAATTAGAGATGATAAAGTATGCACCATACAGTTTTGCAATATCTACTTTTCTGTCATTTTTGATGCTCTTTGGGTCTTCCTATCGATGTCCAAATACATTGCGATTCCTCCAGTCCACTAATCTTTTTGAATTTTTCTCTAGGAAATGGAAGCAACTATAGTTGACGGTAATGGGACAGAGACGGGTCATATAATAGTGACCACTATCGGTGGTAGAAATGGCCAACCAAAGCAGGTATGGCTGTTTAGTTTCTTTGACATTTATGGCACATAACAGGTAGCAGTATTTATTGTTAAATACTGTAGATTGTTGCACTATTTAATTCGTGCTGCCACTTATCTACGTAATCATCCAACCAAAACAAGCATGTAATATTTTATTTTGGGTGGGGAAAATGTTTTGCTGGACGTGCTTATGCTCTGCACAAGCATGTGATATTGAATCCCATATTTAATTTAGAAATTATTGTGCTCAAGAAAAGGAAAAAGTTGCCGTGGAAATAATGTATTCCTGACAGATATCTACAAATACTACCATGTAGAATTTGTAATTTTCATATATGCTAGGATTGAGTTGGTTAAAAGGTACTATTTCTGTAATTTTCTTTCTTCCAGTGTTCTCTAACATGGTTATATTCATCCTTTTTTTGCAGACAATAAGCTACATGGCTGAACGTGTTGTTGGACATGGATCATTTGGTGTTGTCTTCCAAGTAAGAAATCTTGTCTTTTTTCTTTTGCAAATGATGGTGCAAAATTTGTTATATTTATCACCAATTTACTAGCTGTCTTCCTTCTGAATTAGGCAAAGTGCCTGGAGACAGGTGAAACTGTTGCTATAAAGAAAGTTCTTCAAGATAAGAGGTACAAGAACCGTGAATTACAAACCATGCGCCTCCTTGACCATCCAAATGTTGTCTCTTTGAAGCATTGCTTCTTTTCAACAACTGAAAAGGATGAACTTTATCTCAACCTCGTACTCGAGTATGTCCCTGAAACTGTGCACCGTGTGATCAAACACTACAATAAATTGAATCAGAGGATGCCCCTTATATATGTTAAACTTTACACATACCAGGTATAGTTTTGTTTGTTGTAATTACTGTGTTTATTGTTATTTGTTGCTTTAATCTGAAAACAGGACAAAAGTCCTGTTTGATTCAAGGTGGTTTAGTTCTCAATTTATTTTTCCTTTTGGTTTTGTTGTTAGAACCCCATGTTTAAAATGATTTATTGGTTTTTCTTAGAAATTCTGGTAGATCAATTCTGGAATGGACAAGAATAATTTATTTAGAAGTTAACCTTTGTTATGTTATTCCTTGGCAGATTTTTAGAGCCTTGTCTTATATCCATCGTAGTATTGGAGTGTGTCATCGGGACATCAAACCTCAAAACCTTCTGGTACGAACTCCTATCTTTGTAGTTGTCAGTGGTGCCCTTACCAACATCTCTTTCTGTACTTACTGAATACATTTTTAAGCTTAGATGTTCTTGAACATTCAGTTAAAGTATCTCAAAATTCGACATCTGATTATTAAGATTTTAGCTTATTCTAAACTAGCAATTTACCTTTGGATTAGAAGTTGGCTATTAAACCTCCCTTTTATCGGATATGTTTGTTGATTCAGCCCTTGTTTAAGTCTTTTCTCTCTTTTCCCTGCACAGGTAAATCCACATACTCACCAGGTTAAATTGTGTGATTTTGGAAGCGCAAAAGTCTTGGTAGGTTTTCTTTATTCGGTACTCACTTTTGCTTAATTATTTTATAGTGATCTCAAATGGAAGGCTCAAGTATTACATTTAATTTTTGATAGGTAAAAGGGGAACCAAATATATCCTATATTTGCTCCAGGTATTATAGAGCACCTGAACTTATATTTGGAGCAACCGAGTATACGACAGCTATTGACATCTGGTCTGCTGGCTGTGTTCTTGCTGAATTGCTGCTTGGTCAGGTAAGACATTTGTGCATACAAGGAGTTGTTGCGCTTCTGGCTATTTACCAAACATAGTTTTTTTGTCTCAGCCTCTGTTCCCGGGTGAGAGTGGAGTGGATCAGCTTGTTGAGATTATCAAGGTAGTCATCATATCTTAGAAGTTTATAACCAAGTGGTGTAATATCTTGTTTATGTTATAAAACATTCAGCCTGTGGGAATTTTTTTTGGATGGGTGAACTTTCCCCTGTATATTAGCAAAATGCATGTATCTATCAGGATTTTCGTGCATGTTTCTCTCCTTGTGTATGTTTCCAAAGTTGGATTACTAGAACGATGTTGTGTCCCTGCTGGTGTTGAATCGGCTTGTGTTTTGAACACCAGATCTTATCATTGTTTGCTTATATTGGAAAGTCAGATTCATCCATTGAGTTTGCATTAGTTCCAGTTGGTCTGATCACATTTGCGTTACTGGAGTAATAATGGTTGCTTCTTTAAGTTGCTGCCTTTCATTCCCTTTCTTCTTCCCCTTAAAGAAAAGTTGCCTATACATGGTTTTTTTCTGATGCATTGTGGAATTGTTTGTAGGTTTTGGGGACTCCAACAAGGGAGGAAATTAAATGCATGAACCCTCACTATACAGAATTTAAATTTCCTCAAATCAAGGCTCACCCATGGCACAAGGTATTGAAGATATTATAATCAATATGCTGTGATTTGTTGCTAAAACTGGACTGCAGAATTATATAAATTTTTTGTCTCGCTAGATATTTCACAAGCGCATGCCTCCTGAAGCTGTTGATTTGGTCTCGAGGTTATTGCAATACTCTCCAAACCTACGATGTACTGCTGTGAGTGTATAAAACCTGCCTTCATTTCCTTTCTCTCTCCCTCCTGCCATTCTTTTTGTAGCTCTTACATGTGGAAAGCTCTATTCGTAGCATGTAGTTACTGGAAAATAGTGATATCACTCTTTTCTTATATCTGGAAAAGGAGCAACTTCTATGTTAATCTGGGAAGAGGGAGAAAGAGATTACCCTGATATCAGGATAGTTAATCAATTTGTAACCTGTTTGCTCTAGGCATATTTAACAAAAACTAGTAATTTTCTGCTGGAGAAGTCTATTTTTTATTTAAAAAGGGAACACTTGATATTCTTCAAAAGAATTTGTTTACCGAGAGATGGTTGTTCTTGAAGAACTAAAATGTTTCACGTGTATCCTTTTTTACATTGTTTTGACAACACAATCTTTTAGTGATTTAAGTTCTGGTTCATGTCTGTTTTTCTTCATTTGTATGTTTTGTGTCCTCCATGCTCTTTATTTACATGTTTACTTGGATTGCAGCTAGATGCCTTGATCCACCCATTTTTTGATGAGCTACGTGACCCAAACACTCGTTTGCCAAATGGGCGTTTCATTCCACCACTGTTCAACTTTAAATCTCATGGTGAGGAATCATATTAAAAGTAGTTGCTTTCCTTCGAAATCTGGAATACCCATGTGAAATTTTTAAGAAATGTTTGTTATGATGTTGCTCCTGTCAACCAGAACTGAAGGGTGTGCCTGTGGAGATTTTGGTGAAATTGATACCAGAGCATGCAAGAAAGCAATGTCCCTTTCTTGGATTGTGATGTGATGGGACGAAAAATGTAACAAAGCAGCAAACTGTATTCTTCCCCATGTGAAAGCTCTTTATCTGTGATATTTGATTTTCATCCCTGCTATCTTGTAGTAGTATCACCTGTGTTGTTATGTAAAATTCAGAGTAGGGACATGCCATTTTAATCTTTGTCCAGGCCGCAACCATTATTCTGATTACCCTGTTACTAGTTTGTCACAGCAGCTTGTAACATCCATAGCAGACGGACAAGACTTCATCTTTAATGTTGTATCTGTACTGGTGCTCCCCCAGGATAGACAGAATTAGTGTTTATTTAAATGTTTGTGCCTGGAGTTGGCTGTGTGTACTATAGAGGATTTGAATGGCAGCATTGTAACCTTTCAAGTTGTTGCATTTTTCTTTTTTTTTTTTGTCTAAAAAAGCTTGGTGCCTGGATGTCCAGAGTGCATGTACTGATCAACTTTGCTTGGTGTGAAAGTGAAGTGAATTGGAGCTGGGGGAAGAAAGTAGTAATGTTTGAGTTGGGCTAATATGATATAAATGTTGAACAATAGAACCCGTTTTGTTGTCTCTGATTTATATATATATATATATATATATATATGTATTGTAATGTTTTATGTAAAGGAAGTCGGCACCTTTTGTGATTATGCATGTGAGCATATGATTGTTTAAACTCCCTAATTGTCCAAATGATGATGAATTATTGATGCTATAATAGACTATCGGGTTTAATCATCTTGCTGACTAAAACTAGAAAATTCCCCTTCCTGGTCTTATCTCCAACACCCCCCCGAGTTGAAACAGTACCGAATCGACCCGAATACCCAGTGAGTCAGGACTCACTCTCCTTCCTAGTCCTATCTCCAACATACCCTGAGTTGGAACAGTGCCGACACGAATACCCTGTGAGTCGGAACTCACTCTCCTTCCAAGTCCTATCTCCAACATACCCTGAGTTGAAACAATGGCTTAAAGGCAAAGACGGAGACGGAAAATGCCGTTAGGGAAATATTACTGTGACTACTGCGACAAGGAATTCCAAGACACGCCTGCCGCCAGAAAACGCCATCTCCAGGGCACCCACCACCTCCGTGCTAAAGCTCTCTGGTACGACTCCATCCAATACCAAGGTGTCAACCTATTCTCTTGTCTTTTTCCTTGACTTCAAACCCTTTTGCTTTTACAATTTTCATTCAATTCGCTCATATTCATCTCCCCAGACACCTCTCCTGCCGGCATCTGCAACCGCTTTCTCAACACGGTACCTTCGTTTTCTTCTTCTGTTTCTCATTCTCCTTCGCCTTCCTCTTCTCCTAATTCAGGTATAATATGCTCCAGGGATTTTGCCCATATGGGTATTCTTGTAGATATCGTCATCCCAACAAGAATCTACCTACGCCGGCCAATTCTCAAGGTCTGATGTCCTATTTTTTCTATCTTCTTTTCTTTTGATTTACTGCACTCATCTGGAGCTGCTGGTTATTTGTCTTATTTGATCCTACACTCATTTGCAGGATTCACTGACATGAACCTTCGGTCACAAATTATGCCGTCTAATCAATTAGTTGGAGGAAGCTCTTTACAGGGTAAGCCTTTTACTGCGCACGAAACCATATTCAAGAAATTTCTATGCTCCATGAAGCTTACTTTCTTCCTTAAGTGTACTTTCAGGAATGTTTCTCATTGTGTATTGTAATGGTCGGATGCTCTTGAATGATAATTCAGTTGTAAGGGAATGTTTAGAACAAATTAACAATTTTGGAGATTTTATTTGAAAACATACCCTTAATTTATTTGAGAAATTTGATTCTAAATAAATTTGAAGTGTAACTGAAACTATACATATCAATACTAACATCACTACTAATATTAAGTTTGAACTTGACGTCCATGAAAAATTAAATAAAATTTACTTTTAAGAGTTTTATTCTCTATTCATGCTTTTCTTTTTCTCTGAGCATAATGGCTTTCTAACAGGCAACGTGGTCAGAGATAGCATGGGAATGTCGTGGGACAATCTGCCTCCATCATTGAAGCCTCCTCCAGAGGGCGGATACCCACCACTTCCCTTCATAGATTGGGGATAAGCTTCCACTTTTTCAATTTCATGCATTTGGTTTTTTCATGTTTGTGCTTTTAGTTATTATTTTTGTATGGTTTATTCTACTTGGGAAGTAATATGGGATCTGGATTTCATGTTAAGATATGGATTATCATACATAAATAATTTCAAAATGGATTTCCAGATTTCCTTTGCTTGTCATCCCTGAACTTTCTTTCATATGACAGTTTTGAATCAGTAGTGTCATATACGATCGTGATTGTAACTCAATATGCTCTTATTCTGAATGTTATTTTAAAGTTCATATCAGAAAGCATATAATAAAGAGCTTTCGCATATATGATCATGTTTGTTTCATATGACAGTTTTGAATCTGGTATCATATATGATCATGTTATGTTATTTCAAATATCATAGGTAAAGAGTTTTCACATGGGGAAGAATACAGTTTGCTGCTTCTGTTACATTTTTCGTCCCATTACATTACAATCCAAGAAAGGGATTGTCAAAGAATGGGTGGATCAAGGCATCTAGCACAAAAAGCCTGGCAGGAGGGAGAGAGAAAGGGAATGAAAGGCAGGTTTTATGTACTCACAGCAGCACATCGTAGGTTTGGAGAGTATTGCAATAACCTGGAGACCAAATCAACAGCTTCAGCAGGATGCTCTTGTGGAGCGAGACAAAAGAAAATTAATATAATTTTGGCAGGACAGTTTGTAACAACAAATCACAGCATATTGATTATAATATCTTCAATACCTTGTGCCATGGGTGAGCCTTGATTTGAGGAAATTTAAATTCTGTATGGTGAGGGTTCATGCATTTAGTTTCCTCCCCTGTATGGTAAGCACAGAGAGAGATGTTGGTAAGAGTAAAACAAGCGACATCTACAAGAACAAAGACAATTTCGCACAAGAAGATTTTGAGGTTTGATATCCCGATGACACACTCCAGTACTCCGATGAATATAAGACGTGGCTCTAAAAATCTGCCAAGGAATAACATAACACAGGTTAACTTGTAAATAAGTTATTCTTCCATCTACAAGAATTTCCAAGAAAACCAATAAACTATTTTAAACTTGGGGTTCTAACAACAAAACCAAAAAAGAAAAATAAATTGAGAACTAAACCACCTTGAATCAAACAGGACTTTTGTCCTGTTTTCAGATTAAAGTAACAATTAACAATAAACCTAGCAATTGCAACAAACAAAAGTATATCTGGTATGTGTAAAGTTTAACATATATAAGGGGCATCCTCTGGTTCAATTTTATTGTAGTGTTTGATCACACAGTGCACAGTTTCAGGGACGTACTCGAGTACCAGGTTGAGATAAAGTTCATCCTTTTCAGTTGTTGAAAAGAAGCAATGCTTCAAAGAGACAACATTTGGACGGTCAAGGAGGCGCATGGTTTGTAATTCACGGTTCTTGTACCTCTTATCTTGAAGAACTTTCTTTATAGCAACAGTTTCACCTGTCTCCAGGCACTTTGCCTAATTCAAAAAGAAGACAGCTAGTAAACTGGTGATAAATTATAACACATTTTGCACGATCATTCACGAAAGAAAAAAGACGCCATACAAGTGTCCTGAGCTTGTTGTTTTTCTAACTCAAGAACACCGAGCATCAAACTGCAGTAGATCATCAACTAAAAAGTAAGAACTACATGACCCATATCACAGTTTTTCAACCTATTCAGCTTGATCCATATAGTTGATGTCTATGCTCCATGAAGCTTACTTTCTTCCTTAAGTATACTTTTAAGAGCGTTTCTCAATGTGTATTGTATGTTATGGTCAGATGATTATCATTCATGAGGAAATGTTTAGAACAAATTAACAATTTTGGAGGTTTTATTTGAAAACATACTCTTAGTTTAGTCATCACAATATGAGGAGTTTAATACTAACATTAAATTTGAACTTAACGTCCGTGAATAATTATTTTTTTCTTTCTCTAAAATTTACTTTATTTTATTCCCTATTCATTATTTTCTTTTTCTCTGAGCATAAGTCCTGTTTGATTCATGGGACAATCTGCCTCTATCATTGAGGCCTCCTCCAGAGGGCGGATACCCACCACTTCCCTTCATAGACTGGGGATAAGCTTCCACTTCTTCATTTTCATGCATTTGGTTTTTTCATGTTTGTGCTTTAGTATGGTTAATCATACTTCCAGAGTAATATGGGATCCGGATATGTTAATGTTTGTAACTCAATATGCACTTATTCTGAATTTTATTTTGAAGTTCATATAAGAAAGTATATATCTTCGATAAAATACACATATTCATTGAATAATTATACATGTGTATACGTATGTACATTTACATCGACACTGTAACTTGTTTTTCTCTTGTAAGTATAAAAAATATTCTCTGAAATTTATTAACCTAGGCATTGAAATTTTTCATGAGCTCCAATTTAAAAGTCCAAGGACTTCAAGTCAAGAATAACTACAATTTCATTTCAGAGTTTGATGTTTGCCAAAATATTATTGTTGAGTCCTAAGATGGATCTTTTGTTCAAATATATAACTCCATCACCTACCCTGTGTGAAATGAGGATGAAGCTGCTTTAACTCTGGTAACGAAGTTGACAATGAGAACAACGTTGATTTCAGTTTCTAGGATTTGCTTCTTCAATTTTTTGCTGGACCAACACTTTATACATTGATTGTACAAGTCTTTATTTAACTCTGGTAACAAGTTTTGATCTTTGGATCAGCAAATATGTGTATACTGCTATGTATTTGGCAATATATAAAGTTACGTATGATTAAAAAAAAAGTCTTTGTACACACTGCAAAGGAGTATACTCTTAGGATTCAATTCTTAAGTAGCCCTATATTCGATTAACAAAAAAGTAGTCAGTATTCAACAACTTAGCTTATACATGTCTGTTACTTCAAATATCAAACTTCTTACTATAGTTCAATAAAGGAGTAGACTTCAAGGTTCAATTTGAATCATAGTAACAAGTTTGATTATTTGGGTTTAGTTTTCTCTAAATTGAATCGATTAGCATTACTTCAAAGTAATGCTATGTCAATTGTTGTAGCATTGGTAGTCTTGACATCCACAACTCCCCATGCCTGTGTTTTTAACATAAGAACAAGTAACTCGATAATCAAATACTTAAAAAATGCTATTCAAATCAAAACTTGTCAGGGAGGATCAAGCTTTGTTTCCAATGTTATATTTCGTGATATTTACATAGAAAACGTGCGCAATCCAAACAAGTGCAGTTATACTCAATGATATATTTTATAAGAACATGCACATGTATCATGAGGAGTCCACCAATCCATTTTCTTTGTCGTGATTCATTTCCATGCACAAATCTTGTGATGACAGATGTTGAGCTGCTTCCTGTCCAAGGTCCAACTGTGACAAACCCTTTTTGTTGGAATGGTTATGGGACAATCTTCCAAACACCTAAACTTTCCACCAGTTTTTACTGCTTGGTGGATAGATTTTCAAGTTTGATAACACAACACATGTTTATGTTTGTTGATTTACTTATCTTGAAACTGGATACAGATATATCTATCCAGGAAGTGGAATATAACTATCTAAACTGTCCAATAAGCATAAGTACTCCGACAAAAGTATCTACCATAGTATAAACTTCGACAGAATTGTAAAGTAGCCATTTTCCAGTTTATTCTTTTTTCCATGAGAATTGTAGCTCATACTTGAACCCAAAACCCAAAAGTTTAAGCCAAAGTTGTAAACCGAACCATTTTTTCATGAAATGCCAGTGCGCGAAGAGAATAGCATGGTAAGAGGAAAAATTTACTCTAGAAGATGATCTGAGATGGTGTCATATGTGGAAATTTGAGCTTTGGGAATATCGATAATGAAGTCATGTTGATATGCAAACAAACTGACCAAAATTATGCAGTCCTATTCTTGTAATCCAATTTTGAACCAAAGAATATTGAGCGGCCATAATCATGAGTGAGCAAAACTGATGTATGAAAATCATGAAGGGAGATAATCTGAGAAGGGAAAGCAGCAGTAATAAAATGAAATTACATCCCGGATTTGAATATTGAAATAAAAGATTTGAAGAACATTTTAGCTGGTGGCAGAATACTTGTGAGAAACATCCCAGGAAATACATTTGAAACAAGCACGTGCCAGAAATACATTTTTCCATTCACAACCACTTATCCATTTATTAAGCCTTCCAATAAACAAGTTTGTATTGACCCCCGCATACATGGCCAATAACAATACAAACGGGAAAGACCACACTTTACTAACATAAAGAAGCAAGTACCTCCAATAAGGAAGAAGCCAGTTGCATCTGCGTCTCCTCATCTATGGTCAAGAAGAGAGGGACATGCACAAACAGTGATTTGGTTCCATTCTGCTCTGCAAACCGAAGGGAGTGATAGTAGACATAATTGCACACAAATCTACCTGCATCATTGGAGGTCATCACCTCAAACCCTTTCTTAGCTAAGGCCTTTGTTATCTCCTCAACAGGGAGAGAGGTCTGCAAGTAGTTGGAACAAAATATTTGTAAGAATTAAAAAGGGAGACAAAGATTGTCTTGCATAATCTAGATGATAAGAAAAGGATCTGTCCTGTCAACGGATCTAAAAGATAAAGTATGTTCATATATTTAACCTATGTGAGTAAAAGCAATGTAACCAAAGTTCAGTCTACCTCTCGTACGCGTGAAATTCCACCATCTGAAGGAAAAATTGGCACTTTCTGCAAAAGGTACAATAAAATCAAAGTTACAGAAATTTTTGCAACGTTGAACTGCAGGAAATTGCATGTGCATCAATGAAAGATGGATATAATATTGTATCAGACTGAGACCTGAGGTTTCCATCCCATCTCATCAGGACAACGAAAAGTGGCTTCATTGACAGCTTGCTTCTCTATGGCGAATCTTGTAGCACCACTATTAACTCCAAAGTGTACCTGCAGAGATATGGTTACAAGGGCCAAAAGTAATGCATGAATATCCAAAACCAAGTCCAAAGGAAAATATCTATGAATCTAACCCTGGTCTCTCTGTTGCAGCCGGAGCAAAAAATTGCAGGAAAACATTCTAAGCCTTGATTGCAAGTAGATGCATATATGGGATGACTACTGAAATATATACATAATTATAAATAATTTTTAACCAATTCAACTTTTAGGAAAACTGATCATGAACTACATTATTTCACATAATATCAGAGGATGGTTGAGATGACGGTTTCATCTTCAAAGATTTCAAAACTTTTTTACAGACTCATGTTAGCTACCAACTTCTTCTCAAAAAGGTTAGTGGGGTGCTTTCCTATGTAATGTTTTGGTTGTAGTGATTCTCATACTATCAGTTTCCCTCTAGAGTCAGCACTAATCCCTCTTTTGTTATTTCCTTCTTGGAACAAGTTAACAAGGGATCATATACAAGTTCATATAACAACAGTTAGATTAAATAATATCATATTGGTTCGCTCTTCATCAATAAAAAAGATTACTAAGAAGCTAGTAGAATCCACATTTGATTGTAACACAATCTTTGATTGTTATGAATCAACAAACTAAGTAAATCAGAGGTTGACAGTACGTAATCATAGACTTTGAATAGCAAAATAAGAGAGAGGCATATTTTCAGATTGTTCAATTAAGCATTTCAAAGATTGCAATGTCAATGATGTTATATATATATATATTTAATTTCACTTCATTATATCTTTTTGATGACTTTTTTCCTTTCCCACTCCACTCATTTTAAACTGCTTTTTCTGATGGAGAATGGGGGAGTGATGGGCAGCGGTCAGTACTGAAACTACGCACCATCTTCTTGTATAACATGCATAAACCAGGTAACTCAATCTATTTCTAGAATAACTAATGGTCATCAATAGATTAACGATCCTGTGCAGAAAATATTCATGGTGCAGTCCCAAACAATAACTAGAGCTGAGAATTGTATAGTAGATATGCAGGCTCACCCAAACAGTTCTTGCTGAATTCGAGGGCTCGTGTTCTTTGCCATTAACAGCAGATTGCAAGGTCTGATACAGAGGGGACAGAGCTCCCTGTCCTGCAGTATCAAGCACTGTGCAGCTCCCTAGAACAACACCCTTTGGCAAACCCTTTTTATTCATATACTCCTTTAAGTTACTAATAATCGTCTCTGTTGGATTCTCTGCAACACCATGAAATTTCTTGAAGCCTGTCACATGGACTGTAACTGCTGGTGGCCCTTCAGATCCCATTAATTGACAGCTGAGATGAAATTCACAATGTCTTCTCCCACGATAGTTGACCTAATTATCTAAATACTTGCGTCAAACAACGGCAGTCTAAGATGATCGGTCACACACTCCCAGTTTCAATAGAGAAGTACACCAATGTTCTTTCTCCTACACAGACAAGCAACAATTCAAGCGTTTCACAGAGAATCACGAATGACTTCATCATATATTGAATAAAAAATTTTGAATTTCACTTCTGAATCAAGCTCAATTTATGAGCTTCAAATTAAAAACAAGGGCTAAAGACTTAATAACCATTGAATTCTGAATCGAGGCTCCAAAAATAAAACTTTTTTTATTGAAAAACGAGAAAATCAATTCCCAATGTGACAACCGAACAGCTCCAGTAGCAGATTACAATGCATCATCGGAAGAAACGACCGTAAGAATTCCCAGAAACGTATCGAAAACAGCTAAGAAACATCAGAATTTGAAAGCTACGGAAACAAACCAACCGATTTCGACGCAGATCATGTAAAAGATGAAAACTTGAGATTTACCCCAAGTCAACAATCAAACTCAAAATCAGAGTTAGCCATGCACAGACACAATCGACAAACCAAAATCCAATTACGATTATAAAAGCATTCAAAAAACCCAGATGATCGAACAGATCAAAAACCCCAGAAATCTACCTCAAAAACCGAGGCTTTGAAATTGAAACATGTGGCCCATAAAATTCCGAGAAGAAAGTAGAGAAAAAAAATGAAAAGGAAAAGAAGGGTGCAAAATTTTCTTGCCTGCAATCCAGAGAAAGGAAGAAAGCAAAAAGAAGATGACTCAACAACAACCCAGTCTTATCTATCCAACAAAGCTGATTTAGCTTTAGACTATTAAGTTAATAAAGATTCTCATCAAATTAAGAGAGAGAGAGAGAGAGAGAGAGAGAGAGAGAGAGTGGAGAGGTCACTTTCATGGAAGAAAACTCCTATCTGCCTGCGTCCAATCCAATTATCATTATGTATCATTATAATAATAAATTTATATAATATGTATGTGCACATGTATTAATAACATGACAGATACCGGGGTAGATGAAGATGTACCTACATGCAAATCTTGAAATACTCTCTGTTCTGTTGTCGTGTTTATTTTTATCTCCTGTTTTGTTACTGATTTGTCGTTTCTTGCCTTTTCTTTTACTGCAGTAGTTTTTTTTTTAATAATAAAAAAATTTGAGATTAGAAAATAATTAGCACATGCTTTATAAATAGTTTCTTAAATAAAAAAGAGCTGATTATTGACATCCAAAAATATTTAAATTAAGATTTAATTAATTTATCACATTCTCAAAATCAATTCAATTCATGGATTGCTCCCACCAAGGCCCACGGCCCAAGAGAAACCAAAACGTCATCGTTTTCTGGATTTCCTTTCACTTGGAGATTTTATCGCGATGCCATTGCGCCAATGCCCAAGTAGTAGCGCCACTCTTCTGCACCCCAGACCACCTTCTCCGAACTGCACTCGTCATCGAGTTTCGTCGTTACAGAAATGAACTTCCGGTGAACAAGTGACTCCCAGGCTAGAAGAACAGGCGCAAAAAGTTGAGAGAAAAACAAGAGGAAAGGAAAAATAGGATGTCGACGTCATTTTTACAGGTCTCGGTGTCTTTCTCCGAAGCTTCACTGCATCCACCGATCTGCTCCAGTCGTCGAGCAGTCTCGACTAGTACTCTCTTAGTAATCTCATTACTTAATATGCGTATAATATACGCATCTTTATTCCTGCGTGTGCCACTTCAGTACTATTTTTATGTACGTCGGATTTCACGTGCTGTGCTATTAATGCTTTGTTATAATGATTAGTGTGGTTAACGTGAAAATCTGGAAACTAGAGAAGAATCAGAATGAAAAACTATGGGAAATGAAAAAGAATCGAAACTTTTCTCTTTTCTTTTCTTTTTCTTTTCTTGTTTCTGATTTTGCTAGTCGATTTCAACGTAGCTCCATGTTGACATGATACGTGCGCTTCTTAATAGAGAGAATCGGAATGGGAAATTCTGGAAGTGAAAATTAATCAGGATACAAGATTTACATTTTTTTTAGTTTTGTGTTCATATCCACTATCTCCTTACAGATGAGATTGATATTTTTCTGTAATTTTCAGATACAGCTAAAGAAAACTAAAGAAAAGAATCATATTTTGCTTTACTAAATTCTTCTTTCTCTACTTTCTAAACATCCTAGCTGGAAAGTAAGTGATTTCTTTTTGGAGCCTATGAATGGATTTGCTTCGTTTTAACATTAGAGTTTTGTGAGGGAGAGAATTACCATTCTGTATTTCAGATATATAGAAAATATGATTCCCTTACTGATTTTGATATTTTTGTTTATGGTTTTAGTTGGTCAGAAGAAGAAATAATGGTTCAGTGCGAAGTCGTCATCTGGTGCCCTGTGGAGGAGGTTCCAATTTTTGCCAAATGTTTTGCCACTTTAAACAGTGGATATTAAAGAGTTTAGACGTACCAAAACATAGAAGGAAAACTGGGTCAGTAACTGTAAACCAGTTCAAGATTTTGGAAAAATATGATGGACATCGACCAAGAAAGCATTTGGAACCAACTTTGTGGATTGACAAGCAAATCCAAGACCAAGGTCCAGTGATATCTCGTCCTAATGGTTAAAGATACTATGTTCAACTGTCTTTTCATAAGTTGGTCTTTTTTCAGTCCATGAGCACTGGTTTGATTGTCCTTCTGCATCGTCTTGACTTGAAATTTATAGGTTATGTTGAAAAAATGGTGGTTACAGCTTCACAATCAAAAGGAACTATGGTAGAAACACATTCCTTAAATTTTCCCGATGAGGGTAGTGAGGGGCCTTCACTCTGCATTGCTGTCATAGGAGCTACTGGAGAACTGGCAAAAGGAAAGATATTTCCAGCATTATTTGCTTTGTATTATAGTGGTTTCCTTCCTGAGGTAGGACTCGTTTAATACCTTTGCTTGAGCTTTTTGTTCATGAAAAGAAAAAGTTGGGCTTTTACCAAAAGCTGTCAAAAATATTATTAGTAAAATTGAATGTCTCATTGAATTTGGACAATGATCAAGGTTTAGAAAATAATACCTGAACATGTTCTAAAATCTAAGCATGTTGGTTGAATTTCTTCTCTTAGTCTTTTATTTTTCCTTTGGTTGCAGGATGTAGGTATATTTGGTTATTCAAGAAAGAATTTGACAGACGAAGAATTGAGATCCATTATAGCATCAACATTGACTTGCCGCATTGATCATCAGTATGGTCCTCATGATTTTCCAATTCTCTTTTCATGCCTCGTTCATTCAAGTTTTGTTGATATTTAATTCCTTAAATTAACTAAAAGTTTTAAAAGAAAAACTACTTAGAGATTATAAAAATGATACCTGGAGAAATGATTTGTAGCATGGTTTGCATTAGCAGAACATTAAGGAAATAAGCTGATTATGCATTTCAGAAAAAAGGACTCCTTAACAAATCTTGAGATGAACCGATTATTAGAATTTGCAAGCACGTCTTTGTTGCACTTAGTTATATGCTAAAGACAGAATTTTTCATTATAAAGACTTCATAAAGAAAATCATTTCAGACAAAATTGCGGGAACAAAATGGATGCTTTTCTTAGTAGAACATATCATATTAACGGAGGTTTTGACAACAAAGATGGGATGTCAAGGCTCAATGCTCGGATGGAGCAAATTGAGGTATAATCAGTCACATAAGAGTCTTTTCTGTTTGCATGGGTTCCCTTTAACTTTCAAACATTTGAGCCGGAAGAATATGATAATTGATTCAGCAACAGCTTGCTTACTGCAGGGAGGATCTGAAGCAAACAGGATATTCTACCTTTCTGTGCCACAAGAAGCCCTTCTGGATGTTGCATGCTCTCTTTCTGATTATGCTCAAACCCAGAAAGGTTGGAATCGTATAATAATTGAGAAACCTTTTGGCTTTGATGCCCTGTCTTCTCAGCAGTTAACAAAGTCTCTTCTTTCTAAATATGAGGAGAAGCAAATATACAGGTGCTTATATACAATATGATAGTAAAGATGTATTTTTGCTTATCCAATCCTTCATAATTGAAATGAATGATTACAGAATTGATCATCTACTGGGAAAGAACCTTATTGAAAATCTCACAGTTTTAAGGTTTTCTAATCTTGTCTTTGAGCCATTATGGAGCCGAACATACATAAGGAATGTCCAGGTAATACCATTTTCTTCTTAACAAGCAACCATATTATCCTTATAGAATCAACTGAATGTCTATCACATCTTTAACTAATTTTTGCAGGTCATTTTATCAGAAGAGTTGGGTGTGCAGAGGGGAAGGTGCTCATTCTAGTTGTGACAATTTGTTTTTTATCAACAAAGTAGATTCCATAATCTACTGGAAAGCATAGGATTTCATTGAACTTTTATTAATTGTTTGCTGTTGCAGGTATTTTGATGGTTATGGTATCATTCGAGACATAGTTCATAGCCACATACTTCAGACAATTGCATTGCTTACTATGGAACCACCAATAAGTCTTGATGGTGAAGATATTCGGAATGAGAAAGTATTGCTCCTTTATGAGAGAATAGGTTGAGCAATTTTTTTTTTTTGTTGCATATAATGATACTATTAATATTTTCGTTTCAGGTTAAGGTTTTAAGATCAATTCGCAAATTGATACCTGGTGATTTTGTTCTTGGACAGTATAAATCTAGTTCTAGGGACAAAATTGATATAAATTTGAATAGTTTGACTCCCACCTTCTTTGCTTCTGCATTATACATTGAAAATGCACGTTGGGATGGTGTACCTTTCATAATCCAAGCTGGTATGGGTCTCATTAAACACAGGTAAAATTGATTACAAGTATTACTTTTACATTACAATATGTTCAAATTGGAAATTGCCATATGTTCATCTCAAGTTTTTCAGGAAAACATGAATGTTATCTTGACTTGGTGACTTTCCTTGAGCCTTGGCCTTTTTTTCTTAAAATTGTGCATGCAGACATTTATGGTGATTTAAGGATTCTTTATGACTCCCGTCCTGGGTATTTGCATACTACGAAATTATTCTCTGGTAAAGAATGAATTGCCAATAAAATAGCAGTTCTTTTTTTCCTGCCTTTGTGGTTATATGAATTCCCAAGACGTTTATGAGTTGAAATTTACCCAACTTTAGTTAGGAGACTGTGAATAATTGTTTTTGTGCCTTCGAATTTCTAAAAAGTTTGTATATTGAGCAAACAGTTGCCTAATAAATTAGGGAGTACACTCGTGCAAGTGCATCTGGTTGCCGTTTCTAGGAGTTATAACAGTCATATTTTCTCACCGAAATAGTGAATATTGCAGAGTGGAGATACGTATACAGTTTCATCAAGTTCCCGGAAATCTCTACCGTGGATATTTTGGGTCTAGTATGGACCATGTAGCTAATGAACTGATTCTAAGTGATGTGCCTGATGAGGCTATTTTGGTTAAGGTGAATAACAAGGTTCCAGGTTTAGGCATGCAGCTGGATGCTTCAGAACTTAATTTGCTGTACAAGGACAGGCAAGTGCTTTATGGATGTTAACTTGTATTAAAAGAGTTTTAAAGCATTATCTTAGTGATGCTCAGGTTTTCAGTTTTGGCGTATGTGCTTGAGTTTGTATTGGTGGTGCAGGTACAATGTTGAGATACCTGATTCTTACGAGCATCTTCTTCTCGACGTTATTGATGGGGACAACCATCTTTTCATGAGAAGCGATGAGCTTGCTGCTGCATGGAATATTCTTACTCCAGTTCTGCAGGAGATAGACAAGAAAAATATTGCACCAGAAGTTTATGAGGTTGGAGGTAGAGGTCCAATTGGAGCGTACTATCTTCTGGCAAAACATGGGGTTCGTTGGGTGGATGATTAACAATGTCTTTTGTTGAAATTTCTATTGTATGTGAATTAAAAAATATAGGTTATAAATAATTAAGTTATGAGCGAATCTAACAATATTTTACCTCAAATAATTACTGGAAACCCACATGAACTTTTTGCTCAAACTGGTTTATGAATCAGACCTCCCTGTCGTGAGATTGTAGAAGGGACTGGGAGTTACTCAGCTAACTAAATACATTTTCTATTTCATCAACCAATACAAGCCCATACCCAATATACGTATATATTTATTATTGTACATGCAATTATATATGTATACTTATGACTATCTCTATATACAATAGATGATATAAATATATTTTATATATTTACATATTATATTATATAGTATGTCAAGCATTAAGTAGCATTAGGATAAAGTTGGTCCATATCCCTCTTTCTGTCTTACTCTGTGTCCTTTAAGGATAATATGGAGAGTAGCGAGAGCAAGAAGAGGAGAGATATTGATAAAGAAAAACAAGAAGATGAAGAAGAGAAGATGGAAAAGTTCTATGCATTGATAAAAAGAAACGAAGACATGCACTGCCGATTCAAAGAAATTGAAAAAGAGGAAAAGGCTTTCACTGCGCCTAGGAATCCAACCTTCCGACCTGAAGACTTCATGGACCATGATGCAGACATTAAAGGTGGTAAGAGCTTACAACAACTACCTAGACCCTCTAATAAGAAACCACAAGGAGGAGAAGGTTGTGGTACTGCTTTAGATTTAAACCTTTCTCTGTAGCTTTTGAATAAGAAATGTATAATGAACTTGTGTTTAGTGTGTGTGTGTGGAAGTTTTAATGTAACATATATATATGTTATAATAAGAAATCACTAGGAGAAGGAGAAGGAGAAGGTAATGGTACTGGTTTAGACCTAAACCTTTCTCTGTAGCTTTTGAATAAGAAATGTATAATGAACTTGTGTCTTGTGCGTATTTGACCAATATACTTCATAGATTTCATTCATGCTATTAATAAAAATATAATATAATGTAATATATATTCAATGTATAATATAATTTCTCATTTATACCATAATTTTGTCAGGAAAAAAAATGACTTCTTGACTATTTATCTCCTTGCTAATAGCATATATGAGAACGAGTGGAGCTATTTCCTGGAAAAAAGAAACTATTTTAACAGTAAAACGCAGACAAAATCATTGATCTCATTAATAATATTTATCCCACGTAAATAATATATTCAAAAAAAATAAAAAGAATAAAAAATGGTCAGATCACAACAAACAAAGGTCCCTCTTGCAGGATAGATTTTCAATGATTTGGACCTGAGATTGAAACCTACAATTCAGTCAAATTTTATCATCCTGAGCTGAATAAGAAAACAAAAGCTCTAATTACCAACATGGAAAGGGACAAGTAAAAAGCAGCCGAACAACTTGGAAGAGCAAGAGGAAAGAAATCATCTTTCTTTGCCAAACAGCAAATGCAGAGTGCATAAGGAAAGAAAGATCATTTGAACTTTCCAAAACTTCAACCTTACCCTGCAAAGCTTAGCTCATTGAAGTTGCATGTCATTACTGCATATAGATAGGAGAGTAGCTGTCACTTATACACGGGCTTGCATACTTGTCTCGTATCAAAGCGTACAGGTGCAATCTAAAAAAGAAACAACTTTGGTTTACATAATGGAATTAATAACAGAAAATAAAACGTATTTTCTTTGAAATCTGTCATAGCTGACTAAATATCAAATTTTGGAATGTAATTCTTATAGAGGAGCCAGGCAACAGTTCTGCAGTAAGGCACTATAATATAATGCAGGATGCACTATACTGCAAGACTAAAAGTGATAGCAGGGAAGCAATAACAGCACACGGACAAATTATTTGAACATAGATATTTATGGGGTAGTCTTCTTGACCATAATAACAGCGCATAGCAGGAAAAACAAGGTAGCCAACAATAAGGGGGAGAATAGGTTTGCTAACAACACAGCAAAATATAAAAATCATTCATCCAGCACTCATGAAAACACCATATATGCATATAAATTTTCACATCCTTTCAGTGCTCATATATTTGATGGAAGATTTAAGTCATCCAACAAAACACTTATCTCCCCTGACCACCAAAGGTCAACCTAGTTTTGCATCAGATAATGTATCTGCACCACTGAATTCATGTTGAAGTGCAAAATAAGTAGATGGTGATTCAAAATGTAATCACAGATTGGCATTGTTGGAATGAAAATAACATACCTAAGCATGAGCAAGATAAAGCTTTTCCATTAGTTGGTCTTGTCAGATAGTTCATAAGATGAAAGCTTTGACGTTTAGCCATTCACACTCATTTCTTGACAAGATGCTGCAGCTCGGAAGAAACCCCACAGATGTTCTTTTTAGAGTGGCTAAAAGGAAGCAGACATGAAGCATTCACATTTTCCACCTTATGTATCAAGCAGACTGCAATCATAAAATTATTAGAATTGCCTTCACCTCTTTCCTGAATTTTGTTCTCTCAGGAGAATATGTCATACCTGGACCTTGAATGTCATGGTTCCTCAGTGAAACAATCATCATGGTCAAGGAATTTCAGCTTTTGAATATGTGGAGCTGAAAAGCTCAGAACCTAATGATTTGATATGGGAGAGTATAGATGACTGCTGCTCAAATCAGCGTGTGCATGCATCTATCAGTCAGTATTGGGCATGGTATAGTCACCAATAATCCTGGCAAGAACAGAAGCCATCCTTAAAATGATGAAATCTATTAGCATCTCTCAGAATTATCTCTCTTCCCATGACTTTTGCAATCAATTTAATTGCAGAATGACAATCTCCACACACTCGGAGATTTTTCATTATCCGAATTGGTAACCCTTCAGGAACCTTCAAAAGTCCATATGCAACAGCAAGTTTCTCACTGTGATATCCCAGGCTCTGCACCTTCTCTTCCTCATCCACATCATGCAACACAATGCTACCATCAGGACTATACCCAGCTTCTCTCAATAACCCACCTAACTTCTCCAACATCCTCAATATCAATAAATGCTCAGGGTGGCAAGTGCTATCTCCCCCAGTAAACATGTGTACTTTCTTCTCTACTTCAATCCAGCTACAACCAGGTGGTTTATTCACACTCCTTGCCCTCATATTCGCTCTTAATTCTGCAACATCAGCCCATCTACCTTGAGATGCATATATGTTTGATAGCAAGACGGAGGGTCCAGCATTTTCGGGCTCCAGCTGTAGAAGTTTCTTTGCTGCAAGTTCAGCCAAATCCAACTTCATGTGCATTCTACAGGCTCCTAAAAGAGCACCCCAAACTATAGCATCTGCTTCCACAGGCATATTTTCTATCCACTTGATTGCCTCGTTTACTTTACCTGCTCGGCCAAGCAAATCCACTATGCATGCATAATGTTCGGTTCTTGGCTCTACATGATAACTAGATTTCATTGACTCAAAAATCTCAAGCCCTTCGTTAACTTTTCCAGTGTAGCTGCATGCTGTGAGAACTCCTATAAAGGTGACATCGTCTGGTGTGATACCTGAGGAGAGCATCTCACGGAAAACCTGCAAAGCTTCCCCTCCTAAACCATGTTGTGCATACCCAGTTATAATCGAATTCCACATAACAATGTCCTTTGGACCGAACCGTTCAAAAAGTTGCCTTGCTTTGACAAGGTCACCGCATTTGATATACATCGTCATTAAAACTGAGGTAACATATACATCAAGATCAAATTGGGATCTCACTAACAGGGTGTGAACCTGTCTGCCATGATCAAGACTTGCCAGGCTGGCACAAACTAAAAGAACACTAATCAAACATGGGAAATTTGGCCTCACTCCCTCTCTGTGCATCAAAATCAGTAAATCAAGTGCCTCCAACTCAAACCCTTTCCTTTCGTAAACCTTAATCATTGCACTCCATGTCTCATCATCCTTCTTCCTCATTTGATCAAATATGACCCTTGCTTTTTCTACCTCCCCATTTTGGGCGAACCCAAGAATCATAGCATTGCAAGCAGCGACTGACTTGACCGGCATTGCCTCAAAAATTTCTGAAGCCTCCTTAATCCTTCCGCTATGCGTATAACCCAGTAGCATGGCCGTCCATGACACCTCATTTTTTTCCGGCATCACTTCAAAAAGCTTCCTAGCAACATCCACACGATCATTCTGCCCATACCCAGTAATCATTGTAGTCCAAGAAATCACATTTCTACGTGGCATCTCATCAAAAATCTGTCTTGCTTCATCCAACAGCCCTTCCTTACACAACCCTCCTATCATATTAGTTCTAGCAACTATATCTTTCACGGGCATCATGTCATATAACTTACGCGCCTCATCAACGCGGCCTTCTTGAATCAGCCCACCTAACATCACGGTCCATGAAACCACATTCCTTTCAGGCATTTGCCAGAACAAAGACTCTGCTTCAGTTACCATACCATCTTGCACATATCCCCTAATCATCGCAGTCCACGAAACAACATTCCTCTGAGGCATTGTCTCAAACACTTTCATAGCTTCACTAACCATTCCATTCTTGATATATCCAGATATCAATCCGTTCCAAGAAATTGTGTTTCTTTCCGGCATCTTGTCAAACAGACGCTTAGCCTCAGAAGGATTTCTGTTGTCAAAGTACCCACTTATCATCAAGTTCCAACAAGTGATTGTTTTTTGAGGCAACTCGTCGAAAACCTTTCGGGCCTTCTCGACTTGACCGAGACGAGCAAAAAGAGAAATTTTAGCAGCAGCAGAAATCCCCGTATCCGTACAGTATGCTTTATATGGGATCGATCGAAATTTCATTTGATGAACACTAGAAAATAGCAAGCAATGAATACTGAAGTTTCAAATTATGGCCTGTCATTTAGCGAAAATTTTCCTTTTTTTTTTCCAGAAACCAAGTCATCAAACATGGAAAAACGTTTAAATAAAAAGAAATTATTCATGCAGAGAAAAAGTCGAGACTGATTCGGGGGTTTTTAGATACTCCGTAGAGGACGCTTTTGTTCACCGACGGAATGCCACAAAATGCAGGTCGCAAGACTTGCAGAGAGCAGGAGCGGTTACTTTAAAATTCCAGTAATTATCCCATGGGCGCTGGCGCTCAGCCGAGTCCAATTATGAGGCCTGTGAATTTATTTAAAAGTTTAAAATTATAAAATAATAATAACAATAATAAAAAATAACCCTTTTATCTTATAAATGAAAATGAAAAATGTAACGGAATTGGTGCTAGAAAGAAATAAAAAATTTAGATTCATACAATATTAACTTTTTTTAATTTTTTTAATAAAAAAAATAAAAGGAAGAAAACAGAGTCAAAATTAATACTAAAATCTAACAAGTTGAGTTTAAACAAATCAGAGTGACCTATTTGTATATAATCATGGAGATTAAGAGGAGCCTCAAATAGCTAAGATTGATATAATTCACTCAATTCGTTAATCAATTTGCGCACGAATTACTCTCGTAGTGAATATGATAAATCTGAATGTTTTATCTACGATTTAGTAAATAACTAATCTATCTCATAATACTAGAGTGGTAGGAATCGAGTTTGGTGGGATTTCAACTGAAGTATTTAACATGAAGGGAATCGATTTCCACAATGAGTTTTTTTAAGCCCATCTCCCAAGCAAGATTGAGAGCATCAAGGGCAACATAGAGTTCAACAGTAAATGCCTGCGCAACACCCGAATTGCTCATG